TTCCTTGAATAGACAACCCTTTATTACACCAGGCATTTTTATATTGATTTGAACAGATCCACTAGAATGGATAGGAATCAGGTACCTGATAAGCATAGATTGAAGTTAGATGCCCAAAAGCTGATTTATTATAATAATGTTTTGTTGATATTTTACAGGTATAAAATTTATATGGCATGGTTTTATTTTACATGGCATACTATTTTGTACTTAAAGGTACAGTTATTTACTGGCAATAGGTGACGCCATGTTATATCATAAGATCAATGATTTGACGAGTGTTCAGCTTTAGGGCATACATTTTGTGATATCAAACTTTGAAAAATAAGTTTTTACTTGAAATTGATACATAATTTTAATAGATTTAATAATTATAAACAATAATGGCGTTTTTAGTGTATTTTTGTTGCACTTTGGTACATAATATATTAGCAACATAGACAAAAACTGACAAAAAATTTTTTTATCAGAGCAAAAATAAAAAAAAACGTTGGTGACCCATTAAGATTAACTCAAATTATTAAACTTTTCAGTCTGCAAAAGTTAAAAAATCCTTTCATTCGGTTTTTATTCATTGATTCTATTTGTAATAAATAAAAGTTAAATGTTTCATGAGTTGCTGCCCTTGCATTGACATTGTCTGGTTTTGCTCATAAATGATTCATGCTATGTTAAAGGGTTAACAGAGAGAATAAAAAAGTAAATGTAGACTTTAAAATTGACTTTACTAATTTACTTTTTCACCAGACCTAGCATATCACTGTTTTTTCAGCACTTAGCATAAAATTGTGTCAGTATCCTCAGAAAACCATTGTCAAACATGCATACTTATTTCTGTGCAGAGGTGCTCTTCTCAGATAATATGATACACTTTAATCTTTGCAATCTCTCCACTCTTACCTTAGAATATCATAATAATAACTTGATACATAAACTTTTAATTATGAAAATATTTCATCGTGTTTTTTCTAACCCAGTCGGCAAAACACAATAGCTAAACTGGAAGCATTAAACAGGAAGTTATGTTAAAAACTCATTTATTGCTCGATAATTGCTGATTTATACATAACTGATAATCATAAACAATATTTCATTTTGAGAAGCCAGATTGCTGCTATATATAAATAGAATTAACTTTCAATTAAAATGATCAAAGTAGAGTATCTATGTAAATCCCATATTGAGTAAATCACTTATGATTGCATTTTGAAAATTTATTATTTTTAAAGGTCGGGTTGATACATAAATCTTTGATAATATCACACACGTGTAGATATTGTGGTGAATAACTCTGAATCCAATCAACCCAGATACCTGGAAATAATTGATTTTGAATTTATAAGATGTGATGACATGCGGATATTAAAAGTGCAAGCTAAGTAAAGGTTATTATCTCATTGAATGAAGTTCATTGGGATATAGAGAATGTGTCCGTCTATACGTCCGTACATCCATCTGTCTGGGTAATAACTCAAATACAGCTGGCCCAATATTATTTATATTTTATATGCACATCTGCCCTATAAGTACAAGTTCTGCTAGAAAACCAGTTTTGAAAATAGCATGAAAATTGACATGATTGGTTCTTGTCCCATGCTAGTGCCTTGTGTCTACACATATCAATTGATAAACCAACGTTCTGCTGGGATTTCTTCTAATATTTCATGATTTTAGAAATATTTTCACAAAATAATGATTGAGCAAAGCAATAGAATACATAACTCATGATTTAATCGAGAAGAAGTGAGTAGCTCCCATAATTATGTTGTATTCTTTCATATTCATGAACATAATTTGTTTAAATCACGCCCATTAGTATATAATGTCCAATCAAATTGCAGAATGTGGTCACGTGAACAATCATGAGCACATGCTCTCTCAGTGGCGCGCATGCGTAAAGTAAAATTTGAAATTGTGGAAATGGCATTTATTTCAGTTCAACATCATCATTTCAAAACTATGGTAATACTATACTGAAGTTATTCGATCTAAACTTGTAGAGAATACTCATAAGACAACAGCTAACATTGTTAGATCCATTTGAATGTCAAATGAGGCCTGTTTATAAAATTGTTTATCGAATGTGCCAATACCAATAGTCATCTTTGGGAAATCTCCCCCCCCTGCTGACACTCATAAGTGTTTCATGATATTTGCTATGCCTTGGCGTTGCTGTTACCTAGTTTCAATCTTTGCTTGCCTAGATGTTCTTGAAGATCTGGTTGATGAAGGTTATTTTTATCAATTTATTAAAATCACAAATACATTTTTTATGTAATAATGATAAAGACACCACAGGGGGTATATGGTGAATTGTATAAACATACCCAGGGTGCTGCATAAACAATCCTGAGGGTGTTAAGGGTCAGGTAAGGGTGAAGCAGATGAAGTTTGTTTATTTTGTCCTAGGGTGCTGCGCAATGACAAATAACAAAGAAGGGCCTGGAGCAAGATAGATAAAAACATGTATGAATTATGTTGGCAGAATGTCCTGGAATTCCATGTAATGTATTTATACAAACATTCTATGTCTATAAGAGATTCTTTATAAATTGCTTTCATGCCAAGTTACCACATCCTCCTAAGCAGGTATCTAGAATCTGTACCTCCTTCTTCCCCCTGCTATAACCAATTTGGAAGCGCCCGATTAAACTGAATCACGTGATCTATTATGACTTATACATGATTTCTGTCGCAGTGTTGCGACAGCCAATCAGATTGCGAGTTCTTAATAGGGGAAATGCTAACTGCTTATCGCAGGGGGTAAAAAGAAAGCCCTGAGATCGGAGGATGAGTTATCAAAGAAATAAATTTTCCAAGATATATGCCTATTCATGTTTCACCCGCATAGTGTAAGCTACTAAGGATGATCTTTAATTGAAAAATAATTGACAGTCAACAATCGGAAGGAAATGTTTAACATGTGAGTAGCTAACTTTTTAGTGTATCAATGTTTGAGCGTACATTATTAAATACTCTAGTGTGATGCAATGTTAAATTATTGCAATGTCATCGTGACTAGTGAATGTCAATAATTAATGTCACTATAGTAATAAAGTTTATATATAGGATGTAACATGGTTAACTGTTCACAAAACCTCAATCCAGGTCTAGGACATCTTTATTCGAATAAAACACTTATGTTTAAGAGAAAAAACAACTAAATAGAGACATTAAGGGAGAAAATATACATTAAGGAGATGATTCATTAGGGACATGAGAAAATAAATATTAGGGAGATGATCTATAAGGGACATGAGAAAATATACATAAGGGAGATGATTAATTAGGGATGTTAGAAATATACATTAGAGAAATGATTAATTAGGCATATGAGAAAATATATATTAAGGAAATGATTCATTAGGGACATGAGAAAATAAACATTAGGGAGATGAGAAAATAAACATTAGGGAGATGATCTATTAGGAACATGAGAAAATATACATAAGGGAGATGATTAATTAGGGATGTTAGAAATATACATTAGAGAAATGATTAATTAGCCATATGAGAAAATATATATTAAGGAAATGATTCATTAGGGACATGAGAAAATATATATTAGAGAGATGATTAATTAGGTATATGAGAAAATATATATTAGAGAGATGATTAATTAGGTATATGAAAAAATATATTAAGGAGATGATTAATTAGGTATATGAGAAAATATACATTAGAGAGATGATTAATTAGGTATATGAGAAAATATACATTAGAGAGATGATTAATTAGGTATATGAGAAAATATACATTAGGGTGATGATTAATTAGGTATATGAGAAAATATATATTAGAGAGATGATTAATTAGGTATATGAGAAAATATATATTAAGGAGATGATTAATTAGGTATATGAGAAAATATACATTAGAGAGATGATTAATTAGGTATATGGGAAAATATATATTAGCGAGATGATTAATTAGGTATATGAGAAAATATACCTTAGGCAGATGATCCATTAGGGACATGAGAAAATATACATTAGAGAGATGATTAATTAGGTATATGAGAAAATATACATTAGGGCGATGATTAATTAGGTATATGAGAAAATGCATATTAGGCGGATGATCCATTAGGGACATGAGAAAATATACATTAGAGAGATGATTAATTAGGTATATGAGAAAATATATATTAGGGTGATGATTAATTAGGTATATGAGAAAATATATATTATGGAGATGATTAATTAGGTATATGAGAAAATATACATTAGAGAGATGATTAATTAGGTATATGGGAAAATATGTATGAGCGAGATGATTAATTAGGTATATGAGAAAATATACCTTAGACAGATGATCCATTAGGGACATGAGAAAATATACATTAGAGAGATGATTAATTAGGTATATGAGAAAATATACATTAGGGCAATGATTAATTAGGTATATGAGAAAATGCATATTAGGCGGATGATCCATTAGGGACATGAGAAAATATACATTAGAGAGATGATTAATTAGGTATATGAGAAAATATATATTAGAGAGATGATTAATTAGGTATATGAGAAAATATATATTAAGGAGATGATCCATTAGGGACATGAGAAAATATACATTTGGGAGATGATTCACTAGATGCATGAGAAAATATGCATTATGCAGATGATTAATTAGGGACATGAGAAAATATACATTAGGTAGATGATTCATTAGGAACATGAGAAAATACACATTAGGGAGATGATTCAATAGATACATGAGAAAATATACATTAGGAAGATGATTCATTTGGAAGATGGGCTAATAATATTATATACACATCAGAGACATGAAAAAATAGATGAGGAGGAAATTGATCTGTATTAGAGAAAATGCACGTAAGGAAATACACACTAGGGAGAAAATTTCATATAAGGGAGAAAATTACATATGATGATAAAGCCAAGCAAAAACAAGGTCCACTAATTGATAGGAATTAGTGGAACGAATTGAAATTCAAACTTGTTTTTCATGTTTCTTTTTTCATGTTATGTTTTCAGAAGTTGAGATGAGTGAAGTAGGACCCAATATGGACCATAGTCGTGGTTTATTTGAGAGGCTAAGACAGAAGCTGTCATATAACAGCACTGGTAAAGGTCCACCAAGGTATACAGACTCACCCACAGCACCCAGGATAGAACATCACCATGGTAAGTACCCCTTCACAAATGTTTCTTTTTGTCTTTTCTTACTTTAAACCATTACTATGAAGATAATCCCCAGTTTTATTCATGTTTGAAGTAATAGTACAACAACATCATTATCCCACCGAACGAAGTTCGAGGGGGATATAGAAAAGCCGTCCGTCCATCCGTCCGTCCGTTCGTCCGTCTGTTCATCCGTCCGTTTGTCCGTCCGTTCGTCCGTCCGTTCGTGTGTCTTGGCAATAACTCAAATACCGGTTGACGGATTTCATTCAAATTTTATAGGACCTCTGCTCGAGAAGGAATTTTCAATATGGCCGCTTAATTCAAAATGGCGGCCATTTTTCGGAAAAAATATAATCTTTAATAACTCAAATACTAGTGGATGGATTTGGTTCAAATTTTATATGCTGTAGCCTGGGTACAAAGGAGCCTTGCTCAAGAAGACATTTTCAAGATGGCCACCAAATTTCAAAATGGCGGCCATTTTTCTTAAAAAACATTATCTTTAATAACTCAAATACCATTGAATGGATTTGGTTCAAATTTTAGATGCTGATGCTTAGGGACATAGAAGCTCTGCTCGAGAAAGGATTTTCAAGATGGCAGCTAAATTTCAAAATGGCAGCCATTTTTCGTAAAAAAACGTTATCTTTGATAACTCAAATACCATTGAATGGATTTGGTTCAAATTTTACATGATGATGCCTAGGGACACAGGAGCTCTGCTTGAGAAGGGATTTTCAAGGTGGTGGCTAAATTTCCAAATGGCTGCCATTTTTCATAAAAGAACGTAACCTTTGATAACTCAAATACCAGTTGACGGATTTGGTTCAAATTCTATATGCTGATGCCTAGAGACAAAGAAGTTCTGCTCAAAAATAAATTTTCAAGATGGCCTCTGAATTTCATAAAAAAACGTAATTAATGATAACTCAAATACCAGTGGATGGATTTGGTTCCAATTTTATATGCTGATGTTTAGGGAAAAAGGAGATCTGCTTCAGAAGAAATTTCAAAGGCATTAGCTGAATTTCAAAATGGCTGCCATTTTTCATTAAAAAAGTAATCTTTGATAACCCAAATACCATTGGACGGACATTCTCTGCTAAAGAAGAAATCTAAAGATGACAGCTGAATTTCAAAATGGCAACCATGTTTCATAAAAACATTATCTTTGATAATTCAAATACCAGCGGATGAATTTGGCTCAAATTTTTTATCAAAACATGTTTTGTTCGGTGGGATTTGCTACTCCGTGGAGTTGCTGTTTTTCTAGTTACAATAGTGAAATATTGGACCAAAGGCCGAAGGCCCAAGCTCCAATATTTCACTATTTTGCCCACGGAAATGATTAGTATTATTAATATCACTGGTTATGCCCAGGGCTGAAATAACAAGAACTGAGTATCACTGAACGAATTATATTCGCATTGAACGATATCTCATTTCCCGGGGAACATTGCCAGGCATTAATCCATTATTAGGCCCGCCACTATGGCCCGCCACTATGACGTCACATATAGAAAATAGTCAATAGAGTAAAATAAATTCTAAACTAGTACTATTACCACTAGAACAGGTCCAGCAAGGTGGTAATAACACTAGATAGTATTGCAGTGGTAGACGTGGAAGAGGGGTCTCCCTTCCCCAATACGGACCCATCAAAAATTGGCTCCCAAGAAAAAATTTGGGGACCGAAATTTGTCCCTCTCCCTTCACATAAACTAGGCACCAAAAGAAATATATATAACAGCTGAAAACACTGGGAATTATTATTATATAACTATATTATATTATTTTTATTTTGAGCCTTATATTCTAAAACAAAATTAGGCCCATTTTTTAAAAGAGCCAAATTTTTTTCCTATTCAATTTTTGGGACCTCCCCCCTTTGATTTCAAGGACTGCCCTTGTAAAGTACTATATTAGTATGTTATTATTTGTATGTGAGCCATTTGGTCCTGGGAGCCTAGTTGTTGCCATTATTTCAAGTCGCACTTGGGTGGAATGATAACACCTGGGCCCTGGACACAGTATTTAATTCTGTGATTTCAATAACTTAGGGATCAGTAACAAAATCATGACTTAAGTGTGAATTCTAATTTATGTTTTACATTGTTTCAACTCATATAATAAATTACATGATTCTCATTTATGGGGACTGCAAAAAGTGAGACGTTGACTCTAATAGGCCTGTAATTTACAAGGTTTATCATCATACATGTATATTTAAGAGTCTCTGTCTAAACCCTTGAACTGTATAGTTATATATAAAGTCACATTAAAAGTACAATATATTAACTTGTAAGTGATTTTAGAATGATTAAAGCAGCATAAAACATAAATAAAATAGACATGAACAACCATCAAAATGTTACAAGTGTACCAGGTGTACTAAGAAGTGGGTCAAAAATCTTTGCTAGTTCAAGAGGCCTAAAGATGCTATTTTCCCACATCTCTGCTCAATTAAGTGCGTTTCTCTGCAGTATACCATCTCGGGACATTTTGTACTTTAAGGGAGGGAGGGGAACAGCAGTTCCTTAAGTGTCAAAATATACAGTTTTGATGCTGTTATTGATCTAAATAATGATACTGAAATGCAGTCATGACATGAATAAGATATTCATTATGATATGAATACACAAGACACTACTTAATGGAAGTATAAATTCGGAGAATGCTATTTCAATTGGATAGCTCGATTTTTATCAACCATATTCTCTGTACATGAATCTTTCTCAGTTTTATTGGCAAGTGTAAATCTTTATCTAAGCAGACCTCCAGAAAGCAAACCGAGGCTTGGAGATATATGTCTTCACAATCATAAAGGTGGTGCATATTATTGCAACAAACGTGTTCTGTTAAGAGAGGTTGTCAACATTATAAACAATCTTAATGATGTAAATTGTGCAATAATTTCTCATACAGCTCATAAGCTGAGAATTTTTGTCATTGAGCGAAATGATAATCATCTCAAAGTACCTAAATGTGAGTTATGACTCTTGGATAATGTTTCAGCGGAAATTACATACTTTCTACAGGATAAATGAAAAAAATGTAACATGATCATTATTGTTTCCTCAAAGGTTTTTCACAGTATTTCTGTTGAATAGTAGTCACATGATAGTTTTTGTTTTACAAAAATATGAGATCATGTGAATTTTATTTTCAATTGAAAAGGTCCTTGGCATTGTACATATGAATTTTCCCTGACGTTTCAACATTCACTAGCAACATCCAATAGCAATGTTATATGTTTTATTTAAGTTGTCATCATTTTATGTATCTATTGCTGTCATATTATACTAATGAAGACATACATGTAAGTGAATGAATTTATCTTGACTGTTACAGTAGATGACTTAGACCTGGAGGCCCTGATAACAGAGATGCATACAAGCTTTCCTGATGAAGATGAACGACTTGTCAACTTTGACCAGGAGAGCATCAGTGGGGTCAGTGCTAAGGGAATCAATGACTTAGTGACCGAACTCAATGTAGAGAATGAGAACATTGAGTCACATGACTTGCGTCAGGATGGCGCTAAACCTGTGGGAATAGAAGGTAAGGAGGAAATGTATTTCTTTGTACATCAGCCTTTTATTTTGCTCATAGTTTGAAATAGACAGTTTAACAGGAAACAGGGTACCTTTATCCTGCTCAAATTGCCAATCTGTTCCAGTTGCCCCTATCTTGCTCTTCAAGCCCATCAAACAAAGTTTGGAGGGATATAGGAAATGCCTCCGTCTGTCCGTCCGTTCATCCGTTTGATAACTCAAATACTGCTTCCCCGATTTTGTTCATATTTTGTACACATATATATATATATACAGTGTATATATAGAGATTATCCTATATGAGGTTCAGGATATTGGGATTATCCCGAGGCCAATGTAATATATCTGCCCGAGGGCCGTAGGTCCCGAGGTTAGATATAGGATACTATATTGGCCAAGGGATAATCCCAGTATCCTGAACCGACTATAGGATGATCTGTTTATCCCATACTTACCACATTGTTCAATTGGCCAAAGTTCGGAAACGTTGCAACCATCCGTGGAATTATCTTAAAATATTCATGTTCAGTTTTGTATTCTTGTCCGTAGGCGGGTTTTCCTGTTCAAATCTTTGATAATTAACGGGGCATATAGCTCCTTCCCTTCGTTAATGCATCCAACAGATCGCGATTGTCTGCGTTTTTCTCCATTGTCGTTTACAGTATGCAAACGTTACAAAAAAGAACCAATACGGGAACAGCGATTATGTCGTAGCGGGCAGATATACTATATCTGCCCGCTCGGAGCGGGACGTAAAGCTATATCTGCCCGCTGATGAAAATATAAGTTTTTACAAACCGGCTTTATGTACCCGTTACACGTCCAAGTATGGGATAAATATATATATATAGAAGTTCTGCTTGAAGGCCGATTTTCAAAATGCTGCTCATTTAAAAAATGTTGCCATTTTAGTGCTGATTTTACAGGTATTTAGATACAATATACAAAACTGTAATAGTAATATGCTTTAAATATAAAAAAGTTATATAGGACATTAATTAAGCTCGAAATGTAGATATTTAAGAAACACATGGCAGCCATTTTGAAAAATGGCGGCCTTTACAAGCTATTTTACAATTTTTGCTGTAACTCGAAAAGTATTGGGGCGATTTAGTTCATATTTGAATACTATAATCATGGCACACTGGCTTTGGGTCTCTGTGCCTCCTTAGAAGCATATTATACATTTTCTGATGACAATTTGGCAAGTGTGAAAATTTTGAATATAGTGGCAAGTTTTATGTTTGTTATTTTAGGATTTTTTTGATAACTGAAAAAGTAGTAGAGGCTGTTAGATTGGATTTTCTACGCTTTGGCATTGGTGTTATCTAGTTAAAGTGGATCATACCCTGCTCAATTTGTTCTCTGAATATGGTGAAACTTACACAGTTATAATTTTTGTATTCTGCTTTCATATATGCTACTATTAATTGTTTGACAGTCTGTTGTTCAGGGCTTCATTACTAGCCTTGGTTATTTCTGCCCTAGCCACTAAAATTGCAGCATAGCATGGATTACTTATAAATCAATATAGGCACCAGGTAGCTATCTAATTATGACAAAAACATGTATGTTTAGCCAACAATAGGGTTCAGCAGAGGACATTTGTAAGTCTCTGTTGACAGTACCCAAAATCAGCTTTGATTAATGACAACAATTGTCATCCATACAAATAAAATTGTTGCACGATCAGAAATAATATTTCTCAGCATAAAACTTATCAGGTGCTTAGAATTAACTGATTAATTGACCTTTTGCGATCAGAGCGCCCCCTGTTTTTTCAAAATCGGGGGACGCTTAACCGCTGTCTAAATCATGTCAATAAGATCTTAGACTTGGCATGTGCTTAAAATGAATGTTGATCAAGTCAAATCGAACACCATCGTGAAAAATAAATCAATAAAGTATGAAATACAGAAGATAATCTCTCAAAATCAAACAGCTATAGCAGTGTGGCCTATTTGTGACGTCACTTCAAGATAGAATCCATCTGATGATCATCAATTGTGAAATTGCTATTTAAGTGATAACATACATTTTGAAATATGAGTATATTCTGTTTAAAATTGAGGCTATATCTTATATTCATCTTTTAAGGTTGTTTAAGGTTGTGTCCTTGTATATTTTGTTAATGTTATGAAATTTTATTGGACACCTTCGTTACGTGATCCAAGGTAATCCCACTGTCAATGTTAAACAAATGATTTTGCTCATCTCATCTCTCATCTTAAAATGACCTTAAAATGTTATTTATCTCTGAAAATTGCTATGTATTGAATAACGTATAACCAAATATTATTCAGGTTGGTGTTTCAATACAAAAAAAAAACAGTTTTCTTCCATTCACAATATATATATATATATATATTTATATTTGAGTATGTTTGGAACCCTTCTGGATCCTTTATAAACTCTGAACAAACTGAATTAAAGCGCTGCATCATTTTAGCGCTTTAGGTTCAAATTTTGGGCCCAAATTTTGAAAGTTTAAGGCCCATTTTCTTGATAATTTGGTCTAAGGCCTATAAACGCCTTGTAATGCCCATAAAAACTTTAAAATTTAAAAACAATAAAATCTTTTGGACCTAAATTTTTTTCTGGGCTCATCCTAGTATCTGCTTTGGCCCACAAACCTAAATATTGAATATGTGGTTAAGTTATTCATTGCATCATTATATTGCAATTTTTAGGTATAAAAGATTATTAGGGTCAAATCATTGATATTACATTATGTTAATAGTCTTACATCATGATTCCTAATTGTCTGTAGGAAATTGCATTCTAAAAATCATTTTGAAAAGAACATTACTTCATAATTTTTTATCCAATGATAGATTTATGTTTTAATTCTTCCTTACAGTTGTATATGTAGTATGTACTATATACTATATACTATCAAAACGTTTGACATGCATCCAATGAGTTTCTTTCATCCATTTTATACCTCTTTTAAAAATCAATTTTGTGGATTTGATATGTTTATTCATAAGACTTGTGCAAACATACTTGTAAATATAGTTTATATCTATTTTCACTTAGCTGCAAGGGTGTTAATGTGACCTTGAGGCTTGAAGACCAAGTTAATATCACTAAGAGCAATCTCAAGAATAATGCTCAAGTAAATATCATTTGCAGGTGTTTAGTATTAGGTTACTTGAGAAAATAATCACCAATGTTTTATAACACACAACCATTACATTTGCATAATAACATGTATAAGGAGAATTCCATTGAGATTGTAGAAAGCTTTTAATTTATTAAAAACTTTACAGGGGTCATATCAATAAATTAACATTCTCAAGAAATAGGATGAGTTTGTTTTGACATCACCCATACCCACCCACTCAAATTGAAACCTATAAGTGGATGTGGCTCACTGAATATAAACCTCAGAAATCCAAGAAACAAATTAAGGCCATCTTAAAGTGAAATTACCCTTTTCATCCCTAATACTATCATACTGTACTAGTATACCTCATTACATCATTAGAAAGTGTGACGTCAATGTTTTTACTCAACTCTTTATTCAATCTTGTACCACAAGCTTCTTATTATGATTTTTTGGCTCTTCTTTGCCAATTTCCATTTCCACCCTTTTGAATTAGGTGACCTTATTACTTTAACCTTGGCAGTATAACTCAAAACATTTAAATGATTTTATTCAAAAGTTTTATTCTCAAAATCCTGTTAGGGTGCATCATTTGGCAACTGATCGTAAGCGATAACAAGCTGGCGATCAATATGAGTACATCTTAATATGTTCATGTCAGTTTTTGCCGGATCTAAACAAGATGTATTTCTATCGATCAAGTATTTAACTAATCGATTTTCTGAAACTATTTTTGATGAAACATTGAGTTCAGTTTCAGCTTGTAAATTGTATCTAAGGTAGAAGATATAGAATTGGCATGGGGGGGTCAACAGAAGCTTATCAGGATTCAGTATGTTCATTATTTGATATGTGAATACTCATAAGCATGGCACACTATCTTATGACACGGTGGTTAGAAGACAGCCATTTTTCAAAATTTTTATGAGTATTTTATGTTTTTTACTAATCATGAAAAAGTAGTGAAGCAATTTTATGGGCTTTTATGACTTTTACTATAACTGAAAATCGAGTGTAGCGATTTTGTTGCAATTTAATACTTGAATGTTAAGAATAATAATACGCTATCTTATGACAACTTGGCTAACTTACACCGGCAACCATGGTCGTTCTATGGAATTTGCTACACTTGGTCATCGTTGTTTTCTAGTTATACATTGTTAGAAGATGATTAAGTATCTGATACAACAAGGCATTTTTATTTGTTATATTATCTAACCCAGACATGTATTCATTATAAACTCAAAGCCAAGCAATTACATAATTTCACACTTTTTAACAATTTTTACACTCAAATGCAGGCTAGACTCTCAGAACATTATAACTCTCACAAATCAGCTGTTTTCTTGAGATGATCACATGACTGTAAATAAGTGCTCGTTGAAATGCTCTGGGGATCATTGAGTCAGCTATAATAGACTTGTGGATTTGAAAAATATTTATGGGTTTGAAAGTGGTGAATTATTCTCATTATTTCTGATCTCATTGAATCTAGTAACTTTCCATTACAAGAACTTTTCCTTCATCAATGTTGGAATCAGTTCATTTTTAAATAGAATTATGTGTTAAGGTGGATGGGGGAGGGGTGTTATCAACATGAGATTTAAAGCACAGAAGCCTCCAAAATATAAGCTCCAAGAAGGTCACCCTCACATAGACCCCAACTTAAGTATCCTCTTTCCAAAGCACACCTTTACTAGTTATTATGATTTCTACAGTATTATAAATATATTCAGTATATCGGAGGTAGGGGTAATTTCGTGAAAAGAAGTTTTAGTTTTTGTTAAAAAGAAGTTTTCACACAATATCTGATGTTATCTTTTAAAAGAAGCCTTCTTGAATTTAAAGTAGAGTTTGTGGGTTTTTGGTCATTCAGAAGTTTTTTTCATAGACAATTATGATTGATTACATTTAGTAATAACTTTTTTGAGATAGTACATTACCCTTGGGTTTTGTATAAGCCTGTGGTCATGACCCTCTCTAAGCATACAAAGACATTTCAATGGTATATTCATACAGTGTTGGGGGAGTTCATACAACATATATAAATAAACTTTTTATGATGTTATCTGAGGTGAAAACTATATGTCAAAGAAAAATTTGAGGCTACCATATCCATTAGCCTCTTATATATACCTAGCCAGGGTTCATGAAGAAAAAGCAATCTCAAATATGATACAGGTTATCTTATGAAAGGTATTTGTATTGCTGTGTCATCAATCACTTATCTTCTAACCATTCTGCATATGTCCGGTCTTGGAGTATGCTGACCGTGACCTTATATCACCACTCACAAATTTCCTGTTTTTTAGAGATATTCTTGCTTAGAACCGACTTCATTTTTAGAGCTAACTTCATTTTTTTTCTTGATTAAGATCATCTAAATATAGTGCTTGATTAAGTAGATATATCCATCTTGGTTTGCTTGTTATATCTATCATACGTTGGCATATGAGATGAGCAGTTTGCAATATTACAGCATTACCATGGATATTATCGCTGGAAAGCTTTGGATAAAATGGACAGGTATTTAATCATTTGGAATTGATGATACATGTCATGAAGTCTAACAAAAGTTTGTGTTGAAGCATCATTGCTTTCAAGGTTGGAGATTATCATCACGAGAAATCATGGTCTTCTATTAGCTTTTCTATAGATTGAAGGCAGAAAGATGTGATAGGTATCAGAATGGGAGATTATAAATTTCTGAATAGTTCATATCATTTTTTTCTCAAGCTGAGATGTCATCTTGACTTGTCTTGTTTCGAAGAAAGGCTAAAATGGTATGCTTACATGTGAATGTGGGAGGACAAAGGGTGTGGGTGGAATGGGAAATTACCATGGCGACAAGTAGCAGGGTGTGGGTATCAGGTGTCAGCCACTATGAATTCATTTATGAGGAATAAAAATACTGAAACTTTAAATTATCATATCTAATCATTTCATCATTTTCATAGACTTTCACTCGCATGAAAATATGTTTGCACCCGCTTGTAAATGAGAAATCATGTGAAAAATAGACATGTTGCCCAACTCTGGTTTGAATATTGACAATGATAATTTTGCACCTACTATCTTTTATGTTGTATAAATTAACTGGATTGTAATTATTAAATGGTTTTTGCTCCGATTGATTTTCAGGAATAAAAGAAACAATAAACAATAAAATAAACAATTTCTACTATGGATCAATGCATGAACAACAACAATGAGTGCTATTTTAAAAGAGTTTATGACACAAGAGTTCAGATGATGAGCATAAAATGCTTGGTTAAATCATGGATAATTCAAGATTTTTAATGAATAAACATATACATGTAGGACCAAAGAATTAATTAAGAATTGATTTGAAGTATATCAGCATCACTTACATCATTATCACTTAATATACAGGGTGGGCCAAAAAAAGTTTAAGGATGAATATCATATGATATAATGTTAAACCATGCCATATACAGGGTGTCCCGAAAGTATGGGGCCCCCTAGGCAGACATATACCAGTGTCCTCATAGTATGTGTCATATATCATTTTAAAGCTTATTCAAAGTTACATTGATTTGCCAAGTATCATAGTTTAACTCCCAAATGGGAAAAAGTTACAGTCATTTTAAAAGTTAGTGTTTTGTCAAAATAAAGTTCAATTTTACACCACATATAAAGTCAATGTGTCCCCCCTTGGCCATATTAACAGCAGCTATTATCTTCAGATATGACCTTAAAAGCCCTTCAAATAGGGATGTGGGATTTTATAACCCTCTTAAAACCTGTTAAGGGACTTTAGAAGAGTTTCCTTAGAGTTTCTACCCTCTTTTTCCAACTCAATATCCCTCTGACCCGAAAAGAATTGCTGCTGTTAAGATGGCCCGGGAGGACACATTGACTAGTGATTTGGTGTAAAATTGAACTTAATTTTGACCAAACACTAAATTTTCAAATGCCTGTATTTTTTTCACATTTGAGAGTTGAACTATGATACTTGGCGAATCAATGTAACTTTGGATAAGCTTTCAAATGATATATAACACATACTATGACGACACTGGTCTATGTCTGCCTAGGGGGGGGGGCCCCATACTTTCGGGACACCCTGTATTATATATCCTTTAAAGATAAATCATTTCCTAACAATATGACACCATCTGATTGAGTTATCTCTTAAATTTGAAATACATGGAAATGAATGCACAAACTTTGAAAAAATAAATCCATCCTTTCTTCCAGCAGTGTATTGCTATATGAAAAATTCTGGTAAAATTCTACCTGATTAGGCTTATTGCAATTTGAGCCAATATAATCTAGTTATAATGCTTGAGATTTGCTTATATGTCAATCTCCTACAATCTAATTACTTCACTCAACACATAAAAAACTAGGTGAGCTATGAAATTAAAGTTGAATAAAATACAAGATAGTATCACAGGGCATTCAGTATAAGCTGGAGGCCTGGATGTAGCAGTTAGAGAGAGTCAGTATGCCATCCCTGGATGTTTATTCTAGCAATCAATGAATTGTTTTAACTTTACATGGCTTAACTCAGGTATAATTGGATACTTCACATCCTTTAGCATGCTACATATCAGGATGTTAAATGAAAATATTCTTTCATCAGGAAAAAATGTTTCTTTACTTAACATACAAGCAGCTATTATATTTAAGCTGTATGTATGTTTGAATGTATTTAAGGTTTTTAGATACACCTTTAGACAGATGGGTGAGATAATTTTATTAGGTATTTGACATCACATATCTTTGTTCTAGCTGTCCATATGGCAACCTTGCTTAATGGAGATCTGCACAATGAGAATTTTTTCATTATGTAATTGTCATAATTATAAATACCAATATCTCATGAAATAGGCATGTACTTTGGTTTGGTTTGGATATTATGGTTAAAGTATTGTTCAAAATATTGGATAAAATGTTAATCTTTTTCATTCTTTTATAATATTTTTATTTTATTTTTTAAGTTGAAATTTCTACATATTATTGTATGAAAAACTAATTAACTAGTATATAGTTAAATACATACAACTGGAAAAGACATGGATTCTGATGACAAAAATACCTTGTAACTACAATTTTACCTAATAGAGATTTTAGCCAGTTTTAGACATTTTAAGTCAGATAAGGTAGATATTGGGTCAAATTTGAGAAAATATTATGAGAAAATCACCTTACATCAGTGCCTTTATATTCCAGTCCGTGAGCTATGCAGAGTTGGGGACATAAGCAGGGAGAGCATGTCCCTCCCTCTGGACACATGCATTCCTGCAATGAGTGGTACAAACCTACTACAAAACCCTCTCATCAGTGCAATATCAAATGGGACAAAATCCTCTCCATCTAGCCCCATGTTACGTCGTACTCCGAGACAGGATTCAGATGAGACGCACATTGCAGTAGATTTTACGAGTGGCCACATGTCATGCATCCCTACAGTGAGTATTTTTTATGAAGTAATGTACAAATAGTGACTGCCATTGAGGGAAATAGTGCAAAATATTTTCCTCAAGGGAATATCCTGTCCACTGACATGTTCCCGAGGCTGCAGGCCGAGGGAACAAGTCAGTGGACAGGATATTCCCGAGAGGAAAATTTTTACACTATTTCCCGAAAATGTGGCAGTCACTATTTGTTTTATTTTATACCTGATAAGTACTCTGTAAACAAAAACAAAATGAGAAGTCTTTTCATTTCAATATCAAATGTTCACAGGTTCTTATTGGCATTTAAAGGCATTTTACCTTTCAACTCCTATAATCTCAGATTTGGGGGAAGATAAAATGTACTATTGACAGCTGGTCACATGACCTAACTGGTGATTAGTACAATTCATCTTCCCTGAAAGCAGGGATTTAGGACTTTCCAGGGAATTAGTTCATCTTTTCCATGTCATGTGACCATGAATAAGCCAATGAGCATCTAGAATACATTTGAGGTATATAATAATGTAAACTAACTGATGAGGAATCTGGTATATCTTTTTGTTTACATATTGCAATATAATTATCAACAGTGGCAGCATGTCATCTAAATTAAACTGCAATGTGACCTTGACCCTTTGATAAGTATAATAAAAAACCCATAAATGTAAATAATGACATTTCTTGAATAAGTGGACTGGTTATGTTGAATCTTTCAGGAACTTTCCATAGAACTTTCCTTGATTGTGCATAATTTCATTGATACTACATGTCTATTATTAGAGATATTGCCAAAGGTCTCCTTTTTTCTGGTTACCTTGCATGATAAATACCCTTTAATACTGACATTTTAGAAATTAATTGAAATATATTTTGCCAATGATCATGCCACATCCTGTTCAAGGTTTTTATTATTTATATAGTCATTTTCAGTTCAATTTCCGCCCCCAAATACGAATAGAATAATCCTAGTAAATTGATTGCTGCAATTTATACAATTAGACTCCTTAATTCCAATAACTGTAAAAATGTTTGAAGCATCTGTCCTTTCATGTTTTAGATTTACTCACAACTCAACACATGCATATGCATGTGCATATATATTGAAACATTGTACATTATGTATTTACTTTTTATGGTCGAACATATTTATTATCCCAATGAACGAAGTTCAGTAGGGATATAGTGAAGCCCTTCATCCACCCATCAGTCCGTCCGTCCATCCGTCCGTCAATCCGAAAAATAACTCGAATACTAGTGGATGAATTTGCTTTAAAATTGGTGGAAAGATATTGGGAAATTGTTTTATGCAAATTTTCTTTCTCAATATTTGGTGAAAATCTTAGGTTTTTCTTTTTAAACGAAAGAAATGAATATTATTGTTTGAAACTTTGGTAGTATATCAACTTCTATATATATCACAGTTTTTCATCTTGACCCTGCAGGCAAAATAGTGAAATATTGGACCTTGGGCCTTTGGCCAATATCTATATATTTATTATATTGCCCTTTGAAATGATGTTATTGTACTATGGTCTTTATGATTTGTGCCTTTGAAACTCCTCAGTGGTCACCCAAATGCTTAAATTGGAATTTCTGATATACCTTTAATGTATGATTTTTAATATCTGCCAGTTTAATCAATGGTAAATATTACATTGTGACATACATTTATTTAGATTCATGAATATAGCGTTCGTTGGGATTTGCTACTCCGTGGGGTTGCTGGCTTCTAGTTCAAATTATATTTCTACCATTCTTGGACCTTGGTCCCATCTCCTCCTTTTGCTTTATTTTGGAGAAGTGAGGTTTTCACCATGTGAGCCCACAAAATGGTGCCATTTTTATGTCACCACCATAAGCGGTGACATATTGTTAATAGTCTCCAACTTTTTTGTGGATGGTGTTCGGCATCTGTAAAAAATGGCAGGTAGTGATTTTGCATGTTAATGCCTGGTTAGAATTTTGCATTCCAAGTTAATAGAACGTCTGGGTCAGATGTGGTTTTTGAGTCTAGACAATACATCTCGACAATGAATTGAATTCAGAATCCAAAGGAGTGTCTCATTTTAACCCCTCTTAGGTGTACCATAGATTAAATCGGAAATTGATTTCCACTCCCAGTAAATCTCAATAGACTCTCATGAAGCCCTTTGTATACCTTCAAGTTAGACATGCCATCAGCATCAGACATTATGCTGATTGCTAATGAGATAAAACATCACCTTTAAGTGCAATATATCACAATTACATTTTTATAAAAAAGGACATGCTATTCCTTTTGAAGATTTTAAAGAAACATCTCCTTTTATATTAACAACTTCTTTGATATTTTTTTAGTATGGTAAGAGACATATAACATTTATTTATCGATCAGAACATCATTTCTTGTACTTGTATATGACAAGCATTCAATTTCTGTAACAAATTGTTACTATTTTGTATATATTTGCAATAACTTGCGTGGTGGTGTTATATTGACATGTTTAGGCCTTGTGGATAACCTGCTGTTGTTATATCACCACCATAAGTGGTTGGTGGTTGGTGTTCGGAGTATGTAACAAATGGCAGTTGGTGACATTTTGCATGTTAATGCCTTGTTTTACAATGTTCAAATCTTGTATTTCAGGAGACAGTTAGTTTCTTTAGGGATGACAAGTCACCTACAGAGCTGTGCATCAACCAGCATCGTAAAGCCTTGGATCTCTGCCACCTTCTTACCCTGAAAACACATGTTAAGGAAGACAAGAACTGGGTGATAGTGGAGCACCTTGGAAAGCATAATATAGGTAGGGTTCTTTATACTGGGTGACAGTGGTTTCTTGAGGACATGCTTTTTAAGTCCTGCATTACCAATAGGTAGCTCTCACATCAAAGGGTTTAATTGCATTTTGCAGAACTTAAACAATATTGGTGCTGAAATTGTTTCATTGTGCTACATCAAAGGTATAGATTAGTACAAAAACTTGATCCTATGGATAACCATTTTAGTTTATATTTGATTTAAAATCTAGGAACACTATTTAAACAAGAATTACTGAAGCTAAATCTGTAAAAGATTTTTCAAATACACCCTGCCACATTTTGCTTTCGTTTTGCTACACTGAAGATGCTATGATTTATTGCTGAGATTTATAATGTAATTGGTTGTAGGTTGCAATCTTTCCAAGCAAATATATGATTAACTTATTTGTAATTTTGAAAAAGTACAACCAATAACATCATCAATATATCCAATACATCATAGCTTCTTTGATGTACTGAAAGATGACAGGGTTTATTAGAAAGGTTTGTTGTTTAATATTTTGTTGTTTGAAAGCGAGATCCATCCATTCAATAGTTTTAAAGCTTCTCATTGGCCAGATCTTAAACCTAGTATCCTGTTGTGTCATTTAGTTGCAGTTGAAATTAGTGGTTGGAGTTAATACTGCATTATTGAGAACTGTACGAGTTTGACCTTATACCGGTATCAAAATCTGCTATCGGCAATGGACGGCATTTACCTGAATCAGATTCCCAGGCAGACCCAGCCAAATTCCTTCATCAGTACACTATTTATTGTAGTTATCGATATTGGTCCATGTTAATACCAGTAGCACTTTTCACTAATTGGAACTATTATTTCTTGGTCTTCGGTGCTCACTTAATGAGATGTTGAAGTTTTGATTTTTTGTGTTAAAAAGAACTAGAGAGGTTTGAAAAAGAGTTGATGAAGAGTATGTCTCAAAAAATTGTCAAAGTTTTACAATGTTATTTGCTCTCATTCCATGTCATGTATATTTTCTAAAAAGATCAATCGTTCTAATTTTATTTTAGTATAATCCTTCCTTTTAAGGTTATTTAGTGAAAAATTGAAAGGGGGATGTCTGCTTTGTCAATTATATTGAACTTTTACAACATTGTACTCTGCATGTATGTCTAACCCAGTTCCTTCAAGAATGAGTTCATTTTTAGATGTTTCCTTGATTTACCTACTAAATCAGGGGCATAGCCAGCTTTCAGTCAGCGGGGGTAGGTGCGATTGCCAAAAAAATTATGTTTTCAGTCAGGGGGAATGCGATTGTGGTTTAAGGTTTAAGATTTGTTACAAATATTGGTACAACTTCCTTCAAATTTGAGCTAGAAGCCGTAAATAAAGCTCTTTTATTCTTCTATCTCGTTGTTGTATATACATGACACACACAGGTTTTATTGTGCATTATACTTGCATTGTTGTTTAAAATGATGTATTATCAATTTGTTTCCAGAAAGAAACCTTGAAGACCATGAGAATGTTTTAAAGGTCTACAGCTCTTGGAAAGACTATTCACATAATAAATTCTACTTCAGAAAAGATCTAAGAAAATATGAAGTCTTTCAGAACCCAGAGGTAAGTAAAAGAATTTTAATGAAGTCTTCAGATAAAATGTAGACTTTCCTATATTACATAATGCATGTACATGTATATAATCCAAGATCCTCGTTGTCCAAAAGTATCATTTTGTTTGAAACGATGAAGAAATCGCAAATCTTTATATGATGAAACAACTCTATATTGCAATAAATTTTATCCATCCGAAATGTGCAAAATCACCCTCTTATTGTCAAAACCAAAAGGAGTTGTTCATTTTCAATTCTTCCTCAGCAGCAGAGGCAAAATTATTGACTCTTCTGGGCAATCAAAATCAAATCTATTATTGTAACTCAGGTGCTAGTATTGTTGACTATTGCATAATTTTACCACTTTCCAGGAAATCTTCCCCAGCCACAAAGACTATTGATTGCTCTTTCTTTGACCAATCAAAATTGAGTGTTCCAACTGAGGTTCTACCAATAATTGATCATTTTTCCACTTTGCAGCAATTCTTCCCAAGCAGTATGCTGAAGTGTGACAGCTTGGAGGAGGTCGGTGACAGCCAGAACTTGGACATTCAGGTTCAGAGGGCCAAACACATACTTCTTCAGGTATTTTTCATGAAATAGATATTTGGCAGATTTCAACTTTCTGTCAAAACAATAGTGAAATAATTTACTCTTTACATCTTTAGATTGGTGGGTGTGAAATGCGTGTAATTAAACCCACCGTGTGAAGACGTATACAGTATCAGATATATGTTACACATAAACAATCTGTCCGGATTACCTCAATCCAAACTGATTGTTTAGGGGTAACACATATCTGATAAATGTTTCCTATTTGTAAAATCATATAGAAAGTTTATAACTTCCAAAATACAAAAATAACTTGTATTGATAGGTCATCTTGATCACCACTGCTCAATGAAGGGTATAAATAGTGTACAAAAGTGGCATTTTCAAATTCTTTCCTTTGTAGAGAGGATTAATGTTTAGTGTGTCGCTATAGAATGTATCATATTCACAAATATTAATATAATTGAGTACCCAACATGCCTGTCACAAATTCTAATTAAAAACTGACTCCAAAGTGTGCGCACGTAAATCTGCACTGATTGTTTTTGTATAGCACTGTCTGCATAATAGCACACTAGAGTGTGTCTCCCATCTTATCTGTCAATTTGAAAAATACTTATCTATAACTGTATTTTCAGAACCTGTTCAGCACAATGGATAACCTTCCAGATATACAAGGTTGTTTGCTACTACGAGAAAAAAGCAAACGTTCTTGGAAAAAAACATTCTTCATACTCAACAATTCAGGACTCTTTTACTCTTCTAAGGGATCTTCAAAAGACCCCAAACATTTGTTGCAATTTGCTGATCTCTCCGAGTGTGAAGTTTACACTTGTTGTCACCCTAAGAAAAACTTGCACTCCCCCACTGATTACTGCTTAGCCTTGAAGGTGAGTGATGCATTTCATTTTATTCATTACATAATGATTTTGGAATGTTCTTGGTGTTATTGTCCAACTGTTTCATCTCTTAATATGTGATTCAGTTTCTATTCAAGAATCATAGAGCTATGCTGTTAGTGCATTTAACAAATCCCAGTACTAGTCACAGTACATGGTGCTTTATTTAGTCATATTTTTATAACTTTTCTGTGATTTATTATATGAAACTTTAGGCCTTTATGTTTTGAAATGGGGAAAAGTTTAATGAGTTTTATAAAAGTCTGACAGGGCTGAATAGAACTACTCTGAAAAGTATATGTTTGACTTGTTATGATAAATTCACAGCTAATATACAGGGCGAAATTTACTTATTGGGCTTGATTTCACATCATTAGATTCATTACTATTTTTAGGGGTAAAATAATAAAAATCATAAACAAGTCAAATTCTTTACTTCAGAGAATATTTTTAATTTATTGAGACTTTCGACTAATATCCCTTAGTCTTTTTCAAAATATAACAGCATGTATACATTTATGTGACGTCATAAACAGACAATGGAAAATTTAATTATGTAACAAATGACCTAGTAACCTAAAAAATCACAACAACAAAAAACATAGATACGAAAAAACGAATGACCTAATAATAACCTTAAGATAAATATATCATCGTTATGGTAACAATTAAACTCAAATATTACTATTGCATACTTTGCTATACCATTCTTAATTTACAATATTTTATGATACAAATTGTCCAACTGATACCCATTATCTCTGTTCATTTTAGGTTGCATTGTTTTAATATGAATTGCTTCCTTAACCCTACGTTTAAGATCATGACTCTCATTATCAATGATTTTTACATTGTTCCAGTTTATATTATGATCATATTCCATGGAATGTTCAATAACCGCAGAAGCAAGACCTCCAGTCGACAGTAATGTGGGTCTACGATGTTCTCTGATTCTAGTAACTAGTTCCCGCTTTGTTTCACCTACATAAGTTACTAGAATCAGAGAACATCGTAGACCCACATTACTGTCGACTGGAGGTCTTGCTTCTGCGGTTATTGAACATTCCATGGAATATGATCATAATATAAACTGGAACAATGTAAAAATCATTGATAATGAGAGTCATGATCTTAAACGTAGGGTTAAGGAAGCAATTCATATTAAAACAATGCAACCTAAAATGAACAGAGATAATGGGTATCAGTTGGACAATTTGTATCATAAAATATTGTAAATTAAGAATGGTATAGCAAAGTATGCAATAGTAATATTTGAGTTTAATTGTTACCATAACGATGATATATTTATCTTAAGGTTATTATTAGGTCATTCGTTTTTTCGTATCTATGTTTTTTGTTGTTGTGATTTTTTAGGTTACTAGGTCATTTGTTACATAATTAAATTTTCCATTGTCTGTTTATGACGTCACATAAATGTATACATGCTGTTATATTTTGAAAAAGACTAAGGGATATTAGTCGAAAGTCTCAATAAATTAAAAATATTCTCTGAAGTAAAGAATTTGACTTGTTTCTGATATATTAACCAGAGAGATGAACTTACATAGAACTAATAAAAATCATGTTTAAAATCTCCCAGTTATGAACAGTTTGAGACAGACTTAACAATGGTTTGAAGCATTAAACATATACCCTAGCCAAAGAGGAAAATGTAATTTAAAGGGAAAAACACCAGTGAGCTTGTGGGACAATGATTTAAATCTTTTCAAAATTTCCACCTGTTAGGTTTTCATAATATAAACACAATTCATTTTGAAAAGTTAAACAAAATTTTTGTTAACAAAGCAGAGGGTGTGTTTGAGACACAAAAAATTAGGCCTTATTATTACGAGATATTAATATTTGGTCAAGTGAAAATGTGGTCATGTAAAATGTTGCAAATATGAAAAACTTTACATGAAGAAATATGTTTGTTTGGCTTTGGAATTTTCTGGAAACCTCTGGAAATGTTTTTGGTATTTTAAATTTCATATGCCCACCTTATCACCAAATAATGTCTATCTGTAAAGGTCTTGTCCAATACAAGATCAATGGCATTATGATCTTTAATAAACTAACTGTTCACAAATAGTTCCAACATTTGGTGCTCCAGGCCTTTTCAATATCACTTTGTGGTATATGGTGGCTGGTAATCAATTTTTGATATTCACATGCGGAAAATTTCATTTTATATCGATTGAATCCTTTCACTGAACGTAGTTTATATTTCAATGCCTTCATACAGAGTCCTATATAGACATCTTCAAGGTGAAAGTATGGTGTATTAGGTGATATTTTCACTATGTCTTTAACAACTTGCATTGTTGTGACGTAGCCTGTGCCAGAACAAAATTCAGGGAAGTATTTAAACGGGTATTGCTGCATAGAAACATACCATTTTGAAGTCTTTTTTCTCACTGGCATAGCCTTTGAAAAGCAGGAGCCAATGATTTCATTTTTAATTTTAAACGAATCAAGAAAGTGTAAAAGTCTTGGAGTGTTCACCCACATATCAGCATCAGTTTTCATAACATACTCTGCATTTGAGCAGAATTCGACAGCCCACTGGAGACCAGACATTGTTTTTAGAGTGAGATTTCTGTACACATCCATGAAGTCTTTGATGAGGATATCTCCATGTGTTTTTGCTTCTTTAAGAGCCTCTATGTTCCAGTTATTTTTTCTAGTATGCTTCCCTAATAAGAAAACATACCTCAGCTCTCCTGTGTTATTGTTAGAAATACTTAACCATGTTTTGCGTAGCGTATTCCTCGTCTTAACGTCATTGTGGATAGTAAATATGATCACAAGTAGCTTAATATGTTTGGAGTCATATGTTGAGCACAAGTTTTTGTTTTTATAGATGTACGTGAATTTTGGGAAACATGAATTGCACTTATCTGGTCGCACTTTTGAAGTGTTAGCTGATTGGTTTACAAAATGATTACCATTTATTGAAAGATTTGTATGATCCACGACTATAAACCTACTATTTCTTGTGTCATTTCCAAATGGATGAAAATCAGTTGCATTCATATGCCATTTTTGTATAAATCCATTTCTATTAATGAACTGTCCTCTTCTATTATATCCCACTGATAGAACGTCTCCTTCATTCTCTTCTGGTTCCTTTTGTTCTCTCATCGTTTCAGGTAATAGTCCTAACATTAAAAACATCATTGAAGCCATGCACACAACAAACATGAACTTCTGGTAAATCCTTAACATAATTAACCTGATATATTGTTCACAGATATAAAAAATGGCCTTCAACTCAGTCTTTTTTGTTGGTAGTTTTTATTCTTATAGGATGTTACCTCCAAGTCAAAATATGAATAGATAAAAAAGATGTTCAACTTGTGTGAAAAATTCCAATTAGTTTGTTTAAAATACAAAATTGAGCAGGAAATGTGGAGTAATAATAAAATGTATTTAATAAACATATAATGGCAGTTAATAATCCTACTTGTACAGGAGTTCTTGAAATTTGGTTATTTCACTTAGATATTTGAGAGAATGACAATTTTTAGATTGACCAAATAACATTTTATGTATAGGAGTCTAAATCACTATGGTTATTCAGTTCGCTGAGCCCTTTTAGCAGAATGTTATATAGAGACTATGATTTATGAGTGATATAATGATGGATATTGTATGTATCATATCCATTTGTAGATAAAATATCATGAGTAAGATGTTCTTAATCTTTATATTCTATAGTTTAAAAAAGTTTTTAACATCAAATACGATTTTTGTATATAAATATCCAAGTACACACAACATCCTTTTATAGATGGGTTTTGAACCCCCAAGTCATTTCATCTGAACCTATTTTCAACCCAGGACCTCTCAAACCAAAGTCAGAGCATTTGTTAGGTGGTTGGGATCAGTTGCCTGTGTCTTGTAACATTTAACACTTTTGTAACCATTTACCATAATGTAACAGGGAATGACAATTTGTTTACCATATTTCTTGACCTTAAGACTTTTTCATTTATTTTAAAAGCTCCACAATGTTATTTCTTAAATTAAAGGCCAAGGGTATCACTTTTATTTTCAGTGTTTGTGTATTTTATTGTTGGATTTGAATCACCAGTTTTCTTTGTATCTCGGAGGGCGTAAACTTATTTCATGTGATATTAAAGGTTTTAATGACCTTATCCCTATATATGCAAGCAAAATATTTTAGGTTATGTATGATACTAAAGAGGCCTAAAAATTAACTTACGATGAAGTGTACTCAATTATTAAAATGTTCATTATTATTATTTTTGTTATTATGTTTCATAGTAAAGCAAAAAGGGGGAATTTTATTTTATCTCCAAAAATGAATATCAGAATAGTTTCATTTTCCCTTAATACTATTTGATAATTATTCCACAGAATGCAGATTTAGAGAGATATTGTTATAGTGGATTCGATCCCCACTGGGGTGGACTGACTTTTTCACATCAGCCCTTAGCACAGGATTTCATTCTGTGTTTTCATTAACTTCATTAACTCATTAACTATATTGCAATTTTTAAATAATAATAATGGAATACAAAATGTAGATTGATTGACTTCATATGTTTCTAGTCTAACTGTGACAGTAAAGATCTGAGGGTGCTATGTGCTAATGATGAGAGAACGAGGCAGTGCTGGATAGCAGGACTGAGATTACGGAAGGTATGATGTCATCAATACATCATCAGGCATTCTTTACTCTATTGGTTTATTTGAAAAATTTGAAAAATTTATCATCTTTGCAGATGCAAATGTTATATTTAGTCCTTATTTAATCCTAAGAATGACATAAATTGACTAATTAAAATTTATTACTTCATAATACTATAAGTTATTGAATGATTTGAAGTGCAATACAGGATATATTCTGTTCGAGAAATTTTGTATTGGAACGAGACGAAGTTGAGTGCCAATACAGAATATCGAGACAGAATATATCCTATATTGCACTTCAAATCATTCAATAACGTTTTTATCGTGTGATCCTCTATATTGCTACTGAGATTGTCCCCTCCGTACCAATATTTTCTGTATTGCGACGGAGATGATCAACGGGGAAAACCTCAGTAGCAATACAGATTGGTACAGCACAAGAACTGACCAATCAGAAGGCTTAATTTTACAGATCATACAATAATTACATGTAGCGCTTATTAGGTAGCTGTTCACTTAACATGCTGTAACTTGATTGCCTAGTAATATGGAACTGTGCTATGGTATAACTTCTGTGATAATGTGTATTCAATTGTAGTATGGTACAGTGCTAAGGGATAACTACCATGCAGCCCAAAGAAGGCAGGAAAAGTTAAAAAATGCAACCAAAGGGACCAGTGCAATTAAGTCAGCATCTGTAAGTAACACGTTCACCTCATGGTGCATAGAAAATTGATGAAAAACTACATCAAAACCTCTCTAGTGAACACCTGTCGCTAGTGGACACCCTTCTTCTTTACAGACTCTACTGTACAGACCTCTGTATAACTACCCTTTCTGTAGTGAACACCTGTCAACACTGAGTGCTTTTTCTCAGCAAAAACATGTTCAATATACACAGGTTTTACTGAACCATATAAAACCTCTCTGTAGACTCGTGAGCATCGACCTCCTATAAAATCTATATACTATATACAATTGTTGACCTCTCCAGAAGTCAACCGGCAAAATTGTATACTGAGACTGTAAACCGAGAAACTACTGTTGACAGAGACCGAATTTTACGTTTCTATTTTTATTTTTTCTATACTTAGTCTAATTGTCGTCTAGTAAAGTCAAAATATCACTTTCATCAACGTTTACAAAATGTCCGTCTACCATGTTTTTTCTGTAAACATTATGATGTCATGAAACTTATTTTTCAAAAGTAGCGGTCAACAGTACATATTGTTGACCGCTAATCAATCAATCAGAATCGAGTATTTCAGTTGAGGTACTAACAATAAAAAATATAAGATATAACATAAAAGATATTCTCTTTATACAGGTTTTACTCATTGTTTTTGTTGTTCAGAAGTATGTCTATTTTTGATAAAGTTCAAGGTCATGTTGTTCACAATTCGCTTTGTCTTGCTTCTTTCAGCCATCTCTTATGAAATCTCGTGTAGCAATGGACTTCACAGGGCATGAGGGTCGTATTGTGAATGACCCAAATGAAGCCCTGGGTGTAGCTGTACAGGAGGGGCAGAAATGGAGGGTAGGTCAATACCAAGCAGAAGAGTCTAGATTCATTTGAATTAATTTTTCAAAATTATTGCCACCTAGAAATCTTTTTGGGTATTAAAACTCATAAGTTATTGTAAAATCTTTTGTATGTATGTAAAAGCATATGTATAGTACTATGTATTGTAGAACCTCATGCATATGTATTGTAAAATTTCATGTTCCTGTATTGTAAAATACCATACAAGAGCTATTTGTATGTAATTTTAAATCTGATGTGTATAAATTGTAAAAGTCCATGAATATATTTTGTAGAAGCGCAACTGGCAAGTTGTTGCCCCCACCAAGAACTCTCCCCCGAAGACAGGACTGGGTGCAGGCATACACATGACACAGCCGTGGTTCCACAGTGGGATCAATCGTCAGGAAGCCAGCGATCTCATTGTAAAGCAGGGACTTGTTGATGGGTAAGTGATGTACAAATACTAGAGCTCAATAAATGCTAAGATGCATCATTGACCTGTCAAACTTGTTATTAAGAACACACAGATCAAACATAAATAATAAACTGTCATGAACCCAAGAGGATGTAGGAGCTAATTTCATGTAACTGGCATCTTAAATAAAAATTTGGAAAGTTTTTCTGGCCGTCTCTGTACATGCATGTGTGATGTAATCTTAAAGAGTGATTTGTTGATTTGTAAGATTGTAAAGCCTTGAATATTTTATTATGTGATTCCAGGGTGTTTCTGGTGAGGGAAAGTAGAAGGACTCCAGGGATGTTTGTAATCTCATTCTCTCATAACCACAAAATTAAACACACCAAGATTTTGCAGGTAAGATAAAGCACACCAAGGTTGTACAGGTGAGATACAACAAACAAAGGGTTTACAGGTAAGATAAAGCACACCAAGGTTGTACAGGTGAGATACAACAAACAAAGGGTTTACAGGTAAGATAAAGCACACCAAGGTTGTAAAGGTTAGATACAACAAACAAAGGGTTTACAGGTAAGATAAAACACACTAACCAAGGTTGTATAGGTTAGATAAAACAACCAATTTTGTACAGGTGAGATAGAATAGCAAGGTTGTTCAGGTGTAAGCAACCTGAGAATATTATACTTGAACAGAATCACTACTAAATCATTGAAAATTCCACCTCAATATAAACATATACCATCCTAACAAAACTTGAAGTAGACACTTCTAGACATCCTTTTGTTTGATTTATCCTTTAGATATTGGGAAATGACAACTTAATGTTTTTTACTGAATCTCTCATAGCTTGCCATTTGTATGGACATGCACCTTCTGACCATTGAGAGTTTACTTTGAATGTAAAATAAACATATACAGTAATAAGCATGAAATGTTGTCATATGATATTCTGACAACATGTTTTGATTGGATATGATAGTCTTTTGTTCGAAAATTGTAGATGAAGTCTAGGTTTTCTGAATGGTATTTTTTCACAAAATCCTCTATTTTCAGGTTGAAGAGGAGGGTCAAATCTTGTACAGTGTCGACAATGGAGTAACTAAATTCTCAGACCTTATTCAACTAGTGGACTTCTACCATATCAATGCTATGGGGCTGCCTACTAAACTGTTACATTATGTAACATAAACCTATGGTGTATGAGTGATGGGGGCAAATGTGTCAATCATGGAACAAGTCTATGTTTAACCTAGACCATACCAGTGTTAATCTTGGGTTAAACCAGTGTTCACCTTGGATGTCACTCATGGATCCAACCAAGATTTGATCAAGCATCTTCTGCCTATGGTCTTACACCAAAGGTCTGTCTGCATTAAGGAGAGTCAGAACCAACTATTGCATCAAACAAGGACATATTTAGAGGCTTTTTGTAAGTGAGATGAAGATTTTATATAAATGCCGCAGATTCAGCTATCAGTAACTTTTAATTCAACAAATTCAGCTGATTACTCAGACACTTGTGTTTGTGGACAGTATTTGTGTGGTGCTTTTACACTGGTAATAGCCAGACATCAATATATCTTGAGCATTTGAGGATCCAGGCTGACCTGAACATATACATATAGCCTTGTATCTTAGCTATAATACTTCCTGGTGAACTAAGATATCATGAGGCCTGGTTAGTACCATTGTTTTTTACCTCATAGGGGATCAGTTGGTACAGTCTAGTTGCATAGTGATCATGTTTTAAGAACTGTAAAAAGAAAATATAGATCTTAACAAGGAATATGGGGAACATAGAGAAGACACTCCATTTGTATGGATAGGTTAGCAAGTCAAATACTTCATTTAAATATCACAGAGATATGAAGTAAAATGTTTTAGACATAGAGTAGTGAGAAATATAAGCCAGAGTAAGATAAAAACAATTATAGCTTGAGGAATTTTAAGAGACTGAGAGTAAACTGTGGAGTAATCCGCATGGTCTCCCCAGTTTCTGACTAACATTGAAAACACTATTGACAAAATTTACCATATTGGCATTCAATGCATTGCCCAGCAATCAACCAGTTTTTCTAAGTCCATTGCCAAGAGTGAAATATTATATGCAATGAGGCAATTGCCATTGAAAAAGATTATGCATAGTTAACCACACAGCTGTACAGAATTGATATATAAAATCATTTTAGTTGTTGGAGGGTAGTTAGCCATTGGGAGGCTATTTTGGGATAACATTGGAACATGTTGTGCATTACATCAATATACAAGCCTATGTCTAGGCTAGCAATACGACCCTTGCCACCCTTTGCAATATTACAAATGATTTTCAGTTTTGATGCTAAGATCAAGATCTAAAATGTTGCTTTTATGGGCTTTCGTGCAAGTTCAAATGTTAAATGAATATATTGTGTATAGACAGAAAATGAGGTTGAGGGATGTTTTTTCTGAAAGGACATTGTAGATGAGATAATCATCTGCAGTTGAAAGTGTACATAAAATCAAGCTCTGATAAAGGGTGCTACCTGGGTTACGTTATATGCTATGCTATGTTGCTTAGTTGAAACATGTACCATTGATACATGATGTGATTGATATGATCAAAGTTGAAATATGATGTCATTTCTGAAATATGATGTTTTATTGATGAATAATATGATGTCATAATTGAAATATGATGTCATATGGAATATGGGGTATTATTGATGCATGATAAAAAATAATTCTAATATGATATGCGACGTCACAATAACTAGAAATTGATTTATTGGTCTATATTGGGGCATATGTGACCACTTGTTTAAAAAGTTGTATTTCTGGTTCGTTTATCACCTTAGAATTGAAACAAAGACCTCGATTTTATGATTAATATCAAATATATGACCTCATAATTTTTTCTGCCATTTACAAAGACCTCAATCACTACGCGATTTCGGTCTTTTAACAATGAACAGAATAAAACTTTTGGTCACATATTGCGCCATAAATCATAGAATCTCGGTCTTTATTTCCTAAATAATTGCATGTTCTGCCACAGAATACAAAAATAATTTGTGTTATTGTTACAAATTATTTTTACTGCAGCTATGTCTTAAGATGAAATCATATTTACCTGTATATTTTCAGGATCTTATATTTTGTAGATTCATTTTCTAAGTTGATATTATGTGCCTAGAGTTGCCTTGTGTTTCTACAGTAGTAGTTGCCTCGTGCTCTCTAGAGAAAGTTGCCTAGTGTTCTTTGAGCATAAGGCTATATGACCTTGTGCAATGTATATCTCACATATCTTAAATCTCATTTTATATAGATGTTTTCTTTTGTAAATACAGTACATGTATATAGTACAACAAATGGAGCAGTTGAACAGTAAAGAATCTGTCTGTCATAAACTTTAGAAATTTGAGGATTTTGAAGACTGATTTTTATAGTTACGAAGCTCTATTGTAAACATCACATAACACCTTGGACAGTTTTTCAGTGAACAGGTTTTATGAACCTTTGTCTTTTACAAATTATAACATCATGTTTAATTACAAGTGACTAACAACTTATATTCCATAAACTTGGTGCTCCCAAGGATTGTTGGTGCAATTAGGTGCAAAATCCAAATCTAATGACCATGGTTAGAATTTTGAGATCGATTGAGAAAAAAAGATTGAAACTAAACATTGAAATGTACATAACAGAATTTTTATATTTGAGCTAATGCATTGCATATGTATTTAAGTAAAATCCTTTTTGTCAACTGGATTAGAAAATAGAAAATGAAAACTTCATTTTCAATATTCACGCATAATTAAGGTACATTTATACATGCAATACAATTTGTCCAGTGTACTGAGTGTCCACTGAGTGAGTTAATTCCTATGAGTTAACTATCATACGGGTATTTTTAAAGCATCATAGAATGCAAATTATGTATATATGAAATATATAACACTTGTAAATAGGATTTAGACTAAAGTGCTACAGGGTGTTGCATATATATAAGGATACATATTTAGTGCTCCAATTGTCACACATATATTTAGTACTACAGGGTGTTGCACAAATAAGGATAAATATCTAGTGCTACAAGGTGTAGTATACTGGAACTTACCTATTGAAACTATTTTAAATACATAATACATTTTGGACACCCTGTTTATTTACATATACATGTATATAAATTGGTTTAAGTATGCTTGTCAACTGTTAATTAAGAGCTGGTAATCATTAAGATTATTTTTTGGAGCTCAAGGTACATCTTCAAGATCATTGTTTGAAAACATTGCTGATCCTGGCCATGTTATTTTGTAGTTCAAATTAAAGTATGAACCTTACTTTTTTCAGGAATGTATCATTGCATTGTCTTCTTTTAGCAAATCTCTCCAGGAGAAACTGTACAGTTATTTCAAAGAAAATCTACACATTCATTGTAGAGTTTCAGTTTCCAAGTTTCCCAGCAACATTGGATTACTTGTAGTTACCCGTGTATATTGAACATTTTTTACCGAAAAAATTGTTTAGCGTTTGTAGGTGTTCACCACAGAGAGTGCAATTTATACAGAATTCAATAGAGCATGTGTGGAGGAGGGGTGTCCACAAGAGATAGGTGTTCAATAAGATTGATTTTACTGTAATCTAATTGCTTGGGTGCAACAAGAATGATTTCCAACCTCAACATGGCAAGGTACAGCATTTCATCAAACACGATCCTTTAGGTGAACCCATATTCTCGAAAGAACTGTTTAAAAATACAGTCTTTATAAAAGAACATAAAGCTGAAGTAACAGCACATATAATATATACAGAAAAACAGAAGCTTATGTAGAGGTTTTCTTGATATGGTTCTTTATGTCATTGCATTCTTTAGGTTTCCCTATATGTATAGTTTGTACAGATCTAGTTCTCATTGGGATTTTGTGAAACATCCAACAAGAAGTAATGTTGTGATGAAGATGATATTGTGATGCAGATGATATTGTGATGAAGTTGATAAGTTTAATGCAGATGATTTAATGAGGTGCAAGGTATCAACTATATATATTTTTCTCATGTGATATATTAAGCAATATCACTGCTGAAATAGATGACAGAACAGACACTTATTTGCAAACCTGAATATCATGTCACATCCTAGGTCTGTAGCATGTCACACCACGGGTCTGTGGCATGTGGTATTCTAGGTCTATGGCATGTCATATCATAAATTTGTGTCATGTCACAATGTCACATCCTAGATTTGTGGCATGTCACATGTCTAGATCTGTGTTGTGTCACTATAGGTTTGGGCATGTCACCATGGGTCTTTGGCATGTGGTATCCTTTATCTGTGGTGTGCCACATCCTGTCTGTGGCATGTCACATTGTAGATCTATGGCATGTCACACTCAATGTTTGTGGCATGTGGGATCTTAGATCTATATGGCCTTGTCACATCCTAAGTGCATAGCTCGTGGCATTCACAATCTGTGGTGCACTTTGATGACATATGCTTTAAGCCAGCATGTGACCAAAGTTTGTAGAGTACTAAGCTGAAGTACTTTAATGTATAATTTAGATTGCTCTCCATGATAATGCATGTAATTTTGTAAATTTCATTGAATATCACATTAAAATATTCATGATCTATAACATAAGATGTTTCATGTTCTTTTTATATCATCATAACCAGCATATTCTATTCTACAGGGTGTCCCGAAAGTATGGGGCCCCCCCCTAGGCAGACATATACCAGTGTCGTCATAGTATGTGTTATATATCATTTGAAAGCTTATCCAAAGTTACATTGATTCGCCAAGTATCATGGTTCAACTCTCAAATGTGAAAAAATTACAGGCATTTCAAAATTTAGTGTTTGGTCAAAATTAAGTTCAATTTTACACCAAATCACTTGTCAATGTGTCCTCCTGGGTCATCTTAACAGCAGCAATTCTTTTCGGGTCGGAGGGATATTGAGTTGGAAAAAGAGAATGGTGAAGGTAGAAACTCTAAGGAAACTCTTCTAAAGTCCCTTAACAGGTTTTAAGAGGGTTATAAAATCCCACAACCCTATTTGAAGGGCTTTTAAGGTCATATCTGAAAATAATTGCTGCTGTTAACATGGCCAAGGGGGGACACATTGACTAGTAATGTGGCGTAAAATTGAATTTTATTTTGACAAAACACTAACTTTTAAAATGACTGTAACTTTTTCCCATTTTGGAGTTAAACCATGATACTTGACAAATCAATGTAACTTTGGTTAAGCTTTAAAATGATATATGACACATACTATGAGGACACTGGAATATGTCTGCCTAGGGGGGGCCCCATACTTTCGGGACACCCTGTATATCTGGAATGACGTACATTTAGAATGTTGATTTAGATGGCATTCGCTGGTCACACAGAGTATGACATTAGGAAAAGAAATAATGTGTTGGTTGTAATAATACAATGTTCAACTTCAGCCAATCATGTCTATGATCAAATCAGTTTAATTTTATTATGTCACCACCAAAAGTGGTGAGATATTGTTATGGTCTCCGTTTTTTATGTCACCACCAAAAGTGGTGACATATTGTTATGGTCTCCATTTTTTTGCGACGGCGGTTGGCGTCCGGCGTCCGGCGTCCGGCGTCTGGCGTCCGGCGTCTGTAACAATTTCTTACAACTTCCTATAACTTAACAAATACTGTTTAGACTGACTGTAACAATTTCTTACAACTTCCTATAACTTAACAAATACTGTTTAGACTGACTTCAATTTTTTCTAAATCATCTACATGTTCTCAGAAGTTCAAATCTGACTTTAGATTTGACATTTGACCTTCAATGACCTTCTCAAGGTCAAAAAGGTCTTTTTTCAACTTGCTTCACATTGACTAAATTTTTTTTCAAAATCATCTACATGTTCTCAGAAATTCAAATCTGACTTTAGATTTGACTTTAGATTTGACATTTGACCTTCAAATCTGACTTTAGATTTGACATTTGACCTTCAATGACCTTCTCAAGGTCAAAAAAGGTCAAAAAGGTCTGTTTTCAACTTGCTTCAAATTGACTACATTTTTTTTTCAAAATCATCTACGTGTTCTCAGAAATTCAAATCTGACTTAAGATTTGACATTTGACCTTCAATGACCTTCTCAAGGTCAAAAAAGGTCAAAAAGGTCTGTTTTCAACTTGCTTCAAATTGACTAAAATTTTTTTTCAAAATCATCTACGTGTTCTCAGAAATTCAAATCTGACTTTAGATTTGACTTAGGATTTGACATTTGACCTTCAATGACCTTCTCAAAGTCAAAAAAGGTCAAAAAGGTCTTTTTTCAACTTGCTTCAAATTGACTACATTTTTTTTTCAAAATCATCTACATGTTCTCAGAAATTCAAATCTGACTTTAGATTTGACATTTGACCTTCAATGACCTTCTCAATGTCAAAAAAGGTCAAAAAGGTATTTTTTCATCTTGCTTCAAATTGACTAGATTTTTTTTTCAAAATCATCTACATGTTCTCAGAAATTCAAATATGACTTTAGATTTGACATTTGACCTTCAATGACCTTCTCAAGGTCAAAAAGGTCAAAAAGGTATTTTTTCAACTTGCTTCAAATTGACTAATTTTTTTTCAAAATCATCTACATGTTCTCAGGAATTCAAATCTGATTTTAGATTTGACATTTGACCTTTTATGACCTTCTCAACGTCAAAAAAGGTCAAAAAGGTCTGTTTTCAACTTGCTTCAAATTGACCCAATTTTTTTTTCAAAATCATCTACATCTTTTCAGAAGTTCAAATTTGACTTTACAAGTTCTTAGAAGTTCAAATCTGACTTTAGATTTGACCTTTGACCTTCAATGACCTTCTCAAGGTCAAAAAGGTCTTTTTTCAATTTGCTTCAAATTGACTAATTTTTTTTCAAAATCATCTACATGTTCTCAGAAGTTCAAATCCGACTTTAGATTTGACATTTGACCTTCAATGACCTTTTCAAGGTCAAAAAGGTCTTTTTCAACTTGCTTCAAATTTACTTAATTTTTTTTTCAAAATCATCTACATGTTCTCAGAAGTTCAAATCTGACTTTACATTTGACATTTGACCTTCAATGACCTTCTCAATGTCAAAAAAAGTCAAAGAGGTATTTTTTCAACTTGCTTCAAATTGACGAATTTTTTTTTAAAAATCATCTACATGTTCTAAGAAGTTCAAATCAAACCTTCTTAAGGTCAAAAGGTATTTTCCAACTTTCTTTAAATTGACCAAATTGTTTTAGGTGGTGACATTTTGTCATGTTAATGCCTTGTATTATCCATACAGAACATTTAATCTAAAGTAGAATAATAGATGGCACACACATATTTTTAAATAGAATTATCCAAAATATCAGTTTTTATGTCAACACCAAAAAATGGTGACATGCAATTAATTGTTATGGTCTTTTTTTGTGTCGGTGCTGTTGTACAGTGATATCCCTTACAATAGCCATGTCATGCATGACCGTGGTCATTCTCAATATTCTCAATGTCCCATCCTAGATCAGGGTGTGCGTCAGCCTCAATAAAGCATGCCAGTCGTTCAAGGCTAAACGAATAATTGCCTGTAAATGAAATTTATAAAAAACTTCCAAATGAGGCCATGTTATTCACCATATAAGGTATTCACCGTAAAAGGTATTTACCACTATAAGGTTTGAATCATGTTAATCACATTTATTTATCCCATGGACCTATATTGATTTAGGTCCATATTTATCTCAATAGTAATAATTATGAATTTATAATGTATTTATATTCATGGTATATATCAACTTTTCAATATCAAACTAACTCCATAAAAATATTTTCAGCCCTTTGACCATTCAGTTCTTATGTCTATGTCAAACGGATTATAAACGCAAAGGGCAACATTAAATATAAACGTAGATTCCAAAATGCTTCAAATCGAAGCTTTAAGAGATGCTCGGAAAGCTTTACGATAAACACCAAAAACAAGGAAGTCGTATTTAATGTGAATCCCCCCGGTCTATTATTACCCTACCTTTCTAAAGGCAAACTTGTGTGTTTCAAGAGAGTGTGAATATGTATTTGTAAAATAAAATTCTTTATTTATATCATCCAAACAAAAGTAAACTAGCATGAATACTTCGTTTAACCTTTAAGTGTTTAAATTTTAACAAAAAGCTTTTATATTTTATAAACTAAAGGCGTAACAAACGAGTCTTTTATATTGAATAGAATTATCATGGGTCACACCCATTAAGACTATTACTCATATTTCCGATCACGATTCTTATAAGAATTGGGCCTTGTCCGCTTTGTGCACTTTCCAAATCAATATTTGATAAGGTCACTTAAACCCATAGGAGCTTAACAAGTCAGATTTGTTCATGGGATTTATTTAAATGCACAGTTTATAAGTTTATAATCAGTGCACATATAGTCCAGCAGGTCACTTTTCGTGCGTTTGCCAACATTTTGATCAGAACAACCAACACGGAAAAGCTTATCTAAAATCAGTAGGTGCTACCGGACTACGGGAAGACTTGTCACGATACGATTAAATTGTCATGATAGTTGACGTATGAAATAACTCGGAATATCTCATCAGAAATGGAACATTCGGCAATGCTTCTAGGAACATTTCTGGTCTTTATATTGGCCACTGTCATCCAAGCTAATCAAGATAACTTTCAAAATGTACAAATAGCGTTTGCTACTCCCCACGCTATCGAAGAAAATTGGATATCTAACGACCACAATGACATTGCTGACAATATCTTAAGTGAACTCACCGACGCTGAGCTGGATAGTCTGTTAGAAGAGTTACACATTCCCAAACAGCAAGGTGATATCATATTGAACAAGAAACAACTTGTACAGAAGATAACGAACATGGAACTTAGGGATTACAAAAACAGAAACCTACCAAATGAAGTGGATCTAAAGAATCGACCCAAAGGAAACAATCACGAGGGCGAACACACAACAGATTTAATAAGGAAATACAAGGTGCAACATTTAGAAAATAAATCGCAAAAGAATCGTGTTAAAAGAAAGATGAAAACGGGCTATGTTCAGGAGTGGATCTTTCCCATAAGATTTAGTTTCATATCTTCATACAGTAAGTTTTCAAATGACTGATTTAATACAAGGTCTTATTCAAAACATTGGAATTTTTAATGAATATATTCAAAGGTAAATATCCGCGTGTGGTTTTCGAGAAGTGGGGCTTTTACGTGACTGTCTACGTTCAACGATTTGAATGACAGGTTTAATAATAGGCCTTGGGTTTGACCAACAGTAAATGTTTAACTGGATTGCACATTATATGACATGTACTGTGTGCAGTATTCATTATAAAGAAAACACAAAGGGCAACACTTTACATCCTTCTTCAAAGGACTTCATTTATGCTTATATTCATATTATATATATAGGGGTTATGCACTGGGAGGTTTTGGATACAGGGAATATCCCGAGGGATATACAATATATCTTCCCGAGGGACCGAAGGGACCGAGGGAAGATGTATAGTATATCCCAAGGGATATTCCATGTATCCAAACCGACCGTGCATAACTGGTGTATCTCATACTTGAGTGGGTTTAGGGTAGATATAACCTTTTCCACCTTTTTCAAATGACAAGATATTTATATTTAACATTTTCGTAATATTATTTTTGTTCAATACAATGAAATTGTAACATTTAAACTTAAAAAAATTAAATTTTAAAATTAAAAAATAAAAACTTTTGATATTTAAACTTTTGAAAAATTCCCGGGAGCGGGATGGATATATTATATCTGCCCGCATTTGGCCTGGAGCGGGACATATACAATATATCCTGCCCGCTCCTCAGATACGATATATATTCCCGGGTGATATCTACCCCAAACCCACTCAAGTATGAGATACGAAATACTATATACCCTTGCTGCAAGGATGCCACTTTAGGCCGTGTATGTTTTTTCACATGACGCCCTAAGTTAAGTGAACGTAGATACCTGTACTGTATACTGTAATACAGTGAACAGAGCAACCAAATATACAATTTGCAATTACAATTTTATCTAGCATGTAATTTATCATTCCATAACAAGACAACAGAGAGCTAGTACATCACGAAACATATCATTTTAACGTTTATAATATGTTTAAAATTCAGTTTTTACGAGATTTTTGTATCCATTTTGTGACAGATCTTCATTTTATTAAAGCGTTTTAATTGGGTACTAGCTAGTTCTTACCGAGCCTATTAAAGGGTTTGGTTTATTGAATATAATACATTGTCGTATTACAACTTATAGTAACAACAATCGGTTCTTTGAATTGTTTATTTACGTATCGGGAAGTAACATACTAGTATGTGTACACAATATGTTATATTATAGGCGACGAACAGAAAACTGAAATACGAGGGGCGCTCCAGAACTGGGAAGATGCTACGTGTGCAAGTTTTACAGAATCAAACGACACAACTGCCCCAGCGATGTTCTTTGAGCCTCTTCAAGGGTAACATCATATTAATCCAAATTCACCTCATTCAAACCAGACAATCAGAATTCTGAAGTGTCCAAGTTACTATATACGTAAATGGGTTGTAATGAATATTACAGAAAGTTAAATAGGCCCCAGTGACAATGAACGATGACCGTGAAAGACACATGAATAGGCTCCAAATAAACACGACAGGTGAATAATACGAATAACAAAGGTAATGATAGACATTGCTTTAAAAGACTGAATCATCATCTAAAAATGTTTTTATGTTTCAGGTGTTATTCTAATGTGGGTCGGGACCCTTCATCAATCAACACAGTGTCGCTTGCAGAATCGTGTTTTACGGTAAGTTCAATTCATTAAGTCGTCTTAACAGTATAACCTCAATGAAATATATTTTATCAATTTTTAAAATGTAATTCAACTTTAATTGAAAAATTCGCAATGGAATACATGTTTGCATCTTATGGTTTTTGTATGTTCAGTGCCGTATGCATTCTTGTAGCAAGTTTCAAATAACGACTTGAATATACGGCACATGGATGAGATAGTCCATGCTTAGTATTCTTAGAAGATCAGTAAGATAATGTCTATAATTTTTTGTTCAGAAATTGATGATGCAATGAATACTATATTAGTAGCTATGTGTTAATATTCTATTTATCTATTCGCTAGACCGCTACCATTGAGCACGAGATCGGGCACGCCCTTGGCTTCTACCATGAACAAAGTAGACCAGATAGGGACTCGTTTATCACCGTGAATATCTCAAATGTCGATTCAGAGAAGTCAAGTAACTACGATATATTATCTTGGGACGAGGCTCTAACATACAATATAGAATATGACTATGGCTCAGTCATGCAATACGACAAACGAGTAAGTTTGATTTCAACATGCAACTGATTCTTCATTCTAGTTGAAAAATAATTCCGATCACCTTATTGGTGTAGCCACCCATAAATGCCGTCGTCCCATAGATTGCATAATATTAATAATTACTTCCAATAAAAATATGATCTTTAATTAAATGCAGGCGTTTACAAGCAACGGTGGGATGACCATGGTCGCAAAAGATGGCGCTTATGACAATACACTTGGACAAAATGTCGGCCTATCGTTTTCCGACATAAAACTATTTAACACAGAATACTGCAGTGGTACGTAAATCTATAAAATGGTTTTATACATATTTGTAAACTATGATATATTATGTGTGGACTGGGAGTCTATTGAAACATATGCAAATATTTTTAATGCAACAATGTTATTGACATTGGCCATGTACGTATTTGATCTGTTTTCATACAAAATATAAAACCGTGTTGTATCTTTCTTAAAGGTTCCTGCAATGGGTATAGAAACTTAGAGTGGAAAGATTGTCAACATGGAGGATATAGGGACCCCAATAATTGTAACGTATGTAAATGTCCGGATGGATGGACCGGAGCTACATGTAATACAACAAGTCCCCCTGTCAATGGTAAATATTTTTGAAATATATACATGAAGTTCACAATAATGATAAACGTGCAAAATTATTTCTTATTTCCGAAAACACAAAAGAACAATTAAAAGTTAAGTGGAAACAAAACAAATTATTGAAACTGTTTGGTATTTCTTTATTAGCTGTATGCGGAGCTGAACTCAGTGTGACAACACCAGGGGAGTTAATGACTCCATCTTACAATGTAGGATACACCAAAAATACTTCATGTACATGGCTACTTACTGTAAGTATGCGCACATAGCCATAATATCATATACTAGTAAATGACTTAAATGTAGTTCTTAACTTGAAATGAGCAGAAACCCATGTATGTGATCTAAGGTACAATAGGTTTCCGATTAAAACTGTTTAATAAATTACATCTTTACGATATTCAGAAACATATCCATCATCATTCATACACATAATTATATTATCGTTTTTTATAGGCAGATGAAGGTTCCCAGGTGACAGCATCATTCGTTGGGGATTTTGGCATTGATTGCTTAAATGATGCAGAGTCGGGCTGTGATAGAGATTGGGTGGAAGTCAGATACAATGATTTACAACATACTGGACCAAGGTGATACTTTTAGACTTGCGCTAGTAGTTTTTCTTATACGGTTGTTTCATAATTTAGTAATAAATTTAAGTATCCTATAGTTTTTAAGAATTAAAATTGGTTCGAGTCAGATCTTCTAAAATCCCTAATTCCTTTGAATTATGTGAATTAAAAATCAATTTAAAATAAAGGCCCGACCATTAATGTTTTTTTTATACTTTGATACAACGCCAAGTGAACCACAGTCCAATGTGCTTCCATTTGTTTACTTTAAAGATTCTGCTGTGGCACAACACCAAGTGGAACATTTGTATCCAAGGGCAACCAGATGATGATTCTATTTCGCTCGAATACAATATTTAGTGGATCGACACCTATCCCGAATAATGGATTCAAACTACAGTACTCTTTAACTCCAAGTAAGTAAATTATTTTTGGATTGTGAATATGGTTCCTGAACTGTAGAAGAGGTTTAGGAGGGGGAGTTAAATATTGAGTACTCTTCAAAGTAAATCAGACGATCCTAGCATGTGGTTAGTACAAGAGCCTCTCCAAACACACAATTAGTTTAAACGGTACAGTTGATAGGGAATGGTCACTTTTCAATTATACTTTATCTTTCAAATATAGTAAACTTTATCACTTGATTAAACCTGAGACTAATAGATTAAACACCGCTGTATCAAAGTGATTAACGGATAAGAAGACGTAGACGAAGCTCTCTTTTAAGAGGCTAAGCTAAACGAATGCAAAGGGTACTATTAGTTACAATATTTTGAGTATACGATAAATAAAGATATACAAGTATGGGTGATTGGACTAAATACGCTTGCTTAGTGTTAACCTTAATTAATTAATAAATCCTTAATTGCTATTCGTTATTTAGGAGTTGGGAGTCTCCCATGTGAAAGTCTAAAACTGTCTGGTTTGTCACAGTCCCCCAAGCAACTATGGCGAACAGGAATCTTCAAACTGCAGTCGATGCCATGGAACTCCAGACCAGTTTACAAACACCTAGTTGAGCCAGTGTTCATGTTTTATGACAGTGGATATTGGCTCATAGGATCAACTATTGGGGAAACTCAATCAGGGATACGAGTGCTCAGTTCAGCGTTGCAACCACAAGACGTAACAGGGGTTTGGGAATCTTTTAGTGGCACCTCTTGGGTAGCTGAGTCAGGTCTGGTTACGTCATGCTCAGCTATATGTGACAGGATTTGGTTTAGTGGTGTTTCAAGAACTGGACCACATGCCTACTTGTTAGGAGCCTATAGTTTTTCAAATAATGACTCGAATGGATCACCTATCTACAAGAAACAAGATGCCACAAGCAGTGGTGAAATAACAATTAGAATGTCTGGTGGCAACAAATGGAGTATTGTATCCGAGTCTGAAACTATAACCACAACGTTCACGACAACCATCACAAACCCAGTTGAAGTTCCAAATGTATGGACTGTGTCTTCTGGTACGATAGTCCTGGAATGCTACTTTGGTAAGTATGACGGAAACCAAAGAAACAATTTACAGATATATTGGCATAATCCTTAATCGTTGTTTCGACCATATACAGTGTGGTCAAAAAATGGAAACCTTGTATTTTCCTAATATCTTTGTCATTTTAAAGAATTACTCCCTGATATTTCACATATTTGTACATCATTCAATTTCCCACGACCCTACCATATTTCATGACCATCAGACTGATAGTCACAATTTAACAGCACTTTGAATAACATGCTTCAAGTTTGGCTATCATCGCGCTGTAGGCAAACCTGCACAGTTATCAATGGGCCGAATGCATTCCTTAGCAGGTATGGCCTGAATGATACGAATGATCTCACTTTTGAGGTTTGTGATTGTCCTGAGGTAATTCTCATACACTTTTTCCTTGCCATATCACTACAGGTAGGGACATTTTGGACGGCGAGTGCAGGTGGCCCGACAGCGTAATATTGGCCACTATATATGTTTTCTTACATCATCATGATAAACCATGACATCTCTTTTGGTTTTCTTCTTTGTAGGTCCAGAAGAAAATTGTGGTGACGTCATGTTAGATGGTGGTTCTGAACAAAGATCAAGACAGGGCATCTACTCATTGTATGGTTCACTTCTCAATGGAAGACCTGTATATATTCACGAAGATGGAGTAAACTTTCTGTTTCACGTCATTATTGATCAGGCGTCGAGGTTCTGGTACATTTCTACTGATATTGGCAATTCCCTAATAGGCGCCATACGTGTCGAGGACTCAGCTATGTCGGCTGAAGGCATTACTGGCACATGGGAAGCATACATGATACAGGACTGGGTAGTTGAAACAGCAATGGCCACATCATGTATAACTAGTATGTTGCTTTTGATATCCATCTGAACAATGAACTAAACAATCGAAAATAATTTCCTCTTCATGTATGATAGACTAATCAGTTTAGAGTTCCATATCTGAATTCGGAATTTCAATTGATCAGATCATGCTTACTATTGCATCATGAGTGTTATGCAAGGTGATTTTATGTAATCGTCGCAATATGTAAGAAGTAGAGAGCCATATATCTGGGGGATTCCTCTTAATTCATTGTTCCTTCAGTATCAATCTTTCTGTTTCTTATTATGTATGTTAGTCCATGTAGACTTCTTTTCTTTTTCTTACCTTTTCTTTTCACCCTTTTTAGGAATATATGCCCTAAATAAAATGTTTATAACTTTCCAGATAACACTGCCCCAAGCGCAACTTTGTATATCGGTGGTGTGATCACATCGTCTACTCCACAAACCGTCAGGCTAGGACTATACACTATACACGGAGACTATCATAATTCTAGACCAGTATATATTCATGAATCAAACAATAGTTATCTGTACTACTATAGTGGACTTTGGGTGATTGGCGCTACTATTGGTGAAAACCAGTTTGGTATAAAGACATCTGCAGCATCCCTTCTACCTCAGGAAATAACGGAGCCCCTATATGGATTTGTTTCATCTACTGGCTGGACATTGATGGACGGAATCACTATTTCCAGCTACATGGATACAGGTAAGCAGATAAGATATACCTGACAATCAAACAAACATGTACATGTAAAAGTAACATCCACAGTTAGAGAAACAGACAAACAAAAATGAAACATAGACAAAGAAGGGGTGGGGCAAAGATTCACAACGCAGCTTTGCGAATTGGGTAAATTGCGTGTGGGAACGTTAACCCGCAAACCGAAACGCTACTTTGCACATGCTTCCGAAGCCGTCCGAAGCTTTCTGAAAGGTTACTTCAACATACGAACACCCAAATGATGTAAAACGTACATACTCTAATGGGAACGAATTTTACTCAAAGTCCTATTCGCCAGTACACGCAAGTTGACGTCGGGGATTTTCGTCCACATGTGAGAGGGGCTTTACAATTCCTATCTTATATTCTTCTTAGGTGATGGGTCTTGTCGAGAGCTCCAGCTGTCTGGCATAGGGGATTCTGCGTTCAATGGTCTGTATGAAAATAACGACCAAGAGGTCGGGAGTAGACCAAGTTACAAAAAGTCTGGTGGGGGTCTCAACCTTTATTTCAGAGCATCGAGTGGACAATGGGTAATTGGAGCAGACCCTATTAATATAGCTGTTGGTTATTTTGCTTATACAAATGATCCTGCTGTGGATCCAACTAAAACAAGTAATTGGAACATGTACGATGGTAGTGGTTGGGTACCCCAGCCTGAAGTAGTGTGGAGCTGTCTAGATGGTAAGCTGATTAAAGATCATTAAGTTATTACATTCAAGGCATTATTATAATTTATCAATATTGCTGTGCTCATCTTATTGCAGTTATTAGTGCATAGTTGACACGGTTACTTTATTCATTTGTATTAATTTCAGTGACAACTAGTACCACAGCTGTACCAACTACAACAGCACCTGTTCTAACAACTACCCCACCTGTTGCCATGACTACTACCACACTTGTACCAACTACTTCTACAACTGTTTCAACTAATAGCATACCTGGTGCAATTAGTACCACATCCGTAGCAACTAGTACCACAACTGTAGCAACTAGTACCACACCTCTAGCAAGTACTACCACGCCTCTATCAACTACATCCACACATTTACCAATTACTATTGCAGCCGAAGCAAGTACAACCATACCTGTAACAGCTACCTCAACACGTGTGACAACTACAACCACACCTGTAGCAGCTAGTACAACTGTTTCAACTACAACCACACATTTACCAACTACTACTGCACCTGAAGCAAGTACAACCACACCTGTTTCACTTACGACCACACCTGTACCAACTACAACAATAACTTTAGCAACTACTACCATATCTGTAGCAACTAGTACACCACCTTTACCAGCTACTACCACATCTTTAGAAGCTACTACTACAGCTGCACCTACTGCTTCCACACCTTTACCAGCTATCTCAACTCCTGTAGCGATTAGCACCACACCTGTAGGAACTACTATCACACCTAGTACACCTACAACTAGTACCACATCTGTAGCGGCTACTACCACACCTGTAGAAACAAGTGCAACAGCTGTTCCAACTTCTAACACACCTGTGTCAACTACTTCCACACCTTTACCAACTACTTCAACACTTGTAGCAACTAGCACCACACCTGTATCTACTACTACATTTATACCAACATCTACCACACCTATACCTACTATTACATCTGTACCAACATCTACCATACCTGTACCAACAACTACGACACCTTTACCAACTACTACCACACCTGTAGCAACTAGTACATCACCTGTAGCAACTACTTCCACACCTTTACCAACTACTACCACACCTTTACCAACTACTACCACACCTGTACTAACTAGTACCACATCTTTAGCAACTAGTGCACCACCTGAAGCAACTACTTTCACATCTTTCCCTACTTCTTCCACACTTTTACTAACTACAGCACCTGTACCAACTAGTACCTCATCAATAACAACCAGTACACCACCTTTACCAACTACTCCCACACCCTTACCAACTAGTACCTCATTTGTAGCAACTAATACACCACCTGTAGCAACTGCTACCACTACTCTACCAACTGCTTCTACATTAGTAGCAACTAGTACATCACCTGTACAAACTAGAACCACAACTGTAGAAACTTCCATCGCACCTTTACCAACTACTACCATACCTGTACCAACTACTACCACACCTTCATCAACCACCTCAAAACCCGTAGCAACCAGTGCCACACCTGTATCAACTAGTACCACTCCTATATCAACTAGTACCACATCTGTGGCAACTACTTCCACACCTTTACAAACTACTTCCACACCTTTACCAACTACTACTACACCTATATCAACTACTACCACACTTGTACCAACTGATACCTTACCTTTACAAACTACTTACACACCTTTATTAGCTACTTCCACATCATTACCGACTACTACCACACCTTTACCAACTAGTACCACACCTGTGCCAACTAGTACCACATATGTACCTACTAGTACCACACATTTACCAACTAGTACCACATCTATAGCAGTTACTACCACCCCTGTATCAACTACTACCACGATTGTAGCAACTACCACCACATCTGTTGCAACTACTATCACATCTTTACCAACTACCTCGATACCCTTATCAACTAGTACCATACCTTTACCAACTAGTACCACACCTTTACCAACTAGTACCATACCTTTACCGCCTACCTCAACACCTGTGCTAACTAACACTTTAACTGGGTCAACTACTACCACAACTATCTTAGCTCCTACTACAACTGTTCACACGACGGAAACAGCCACATTGACATCTGGATCCATCAGTACTACACTGAGTCTCCCGACTACAACAGAAGACGTCACTACATCTGTATCAAATAATAACACGACTGTTCATACGACCAGTTTGACATCTGAATCCATCGGTACTACAATGAGTGTTTCGACGACAACAGAAGCGGTCACTACAACTGAATCAAATGCATGTGGAAGAACAACTTGTCCTCCTGGTCGAGTAAGCGATAATTGTGCAAAACGTAAGTGGACGTATGCCTTCAATTACCAAGTTAGCTTTCATGTTCGCATCAAAGAGATGTGTGAATTCTGAATGACCATGCATCAGTGTTTATATAAATGTCTAATATTTTGATGTATTTAGGTGGATATGCATTTTCGAGTGTTCTCCGATTAAACGATGAGTTTTCACAGACATTGAAAGATGAGGAATCAGTTGAATATAAAGACTTCGAGGAAAAGTTCCTGTGCACGGTATGTACCACACATTAGTATTAAAGTAAAAGTATAATTTGGTGCTATATTCATCTGCTGTTAACTAGTAAATGAACAACACTATCAATCATTTCAAGTGTTGACATATTGTTGTAACTTTTTTATTGGCGGTGTTCGGAGGTTGGAATTCGACGTTCAGCGTCTGTATGGCAGGTGGTGAGATTTTGCATGTTGATGCCTTGTTTGAATGGCCAGGAGGTGTTAGATATCGTTATATGGACGTTATATCATTGATTGAAATGCTGGTATTTGTTCAGGACTTGTGATTGATTTATTTCAAAACAGTGCTATATGATATTTTCGACTTGACCTTTTGTGCCCACATACTGATATGTTTCTGTCCATTTTAGGCTAGTGAAGGCTATAAAAATGGTGGTCTTACGAACAAATATCGACCATTCTTGAAGGTGGAGAATGTAACCAGTGGATCTATCTTGGTAGCGTATTCCCTGACTTTAGAACCATTGTCAACAGATGACGTTAACGATCCCCCAACAGCTGATTTGGTGAAGGCGTCATTCAATGTCACAGCTGCAAACCAATTTGGTTTACTTAACTACACCGCTCCACCCGAATCAACAATAGGTACCATTTTCATATCAATCATATTGTTATCATTTTTTCAACTTTTTAATCGTTATGTGTGAAGACAAATATGGATACAGAAAAAATGCATATGGTTGACAATACAATTGAGTTGATGCTTCACACAGTGATAGGGAAAATCAAATACTACATTTCTTTTTCTATCTCTTTTAACCATTTAAAGAAAAAGAATACTGAAATCAAAAGATATTATACGCTGATGCAGCAATGACGGAAATAGACATATTCTGTTTTTGCCACTTCGTAAAACATCGTTTTATCAGATGAATACAAATGCGCCTTCTAATTTGATGTTTCTTAGTATTTGGAAAGCAATATTTTATGTTATTCTACAGATTACGACGAGTGCTCAACGCAAGATTCCAATGATTGCCACACAAATGCTTTGTGCACAAATCAGATTGGATCATACACATGCGCATGCGCCTTTGGGTTTGTTGATGAAAGTGCTGACTCTACCTTACCAGGCAGAATTTGTAAAGGTTGGTTTCGGATTTTGAAATATTAACATATACATGTGTTTCTACAGAATGTTGTACTTTTTCACATTTTAGGTTATATTCTATCATATTTTACTACACTTTATCATATGTTTTGTATTGTATTGTATTGTATTGTATCATTCATTATAGATTCAAGCATGGGCTTTCAACTTCTAGTTGAAAGCCCATGATTCAAGTTACTAATACTCTGAACATTTTTTTCAGCTCAAAGTGTATTTAGCAGTCTGGAGCTGATCTTGATCATCGTGGGTGGGTTCCTAGCTGTCGGTCTTATTTTCGTAATCATAGCAATATGTTACTGTATGAGAACAAATTCATCTCGTAAAGATAATCTGAAAGAAGCTGAAATCAATCGTGCACATTTAGGCGAGGATGTATCAAGGAAAGAAATCGTATACAATGCGAATGAAGAGCGTGTTCCTCGTGAAGTATACGGTTATGATAAGAGAGATACTTCAGTACCAAACGTCATAATGGCGCCAAACATTGATGATGAGGAATACGGACAAACATACGAATATATCCAGCCTGAGAACCAATATACGATTCCGCGATTTACAACTTCTCTTGCATTTAACAGCAATATTTTAGCTGTTAAGAGGGATCTTCCTGGTCCTGCGAGGGGTAATGGGGAAATCTACAGCCGCGGCGCCAAGGAGGACGCAAGGCGACCAACATTACCGCCACCTACAGCGAGAAATACCAACATTATACAAAGAGAAAATACTTATTTCACAAATGGAAAATCCATGATAAATCAAAACAGACAAAGTCAAGTTTATGTGAATGGAAATTCAAATGACCAAAACAGACAAAACACTTATCTACAGCCTATGTCTGGTCCTAGTAGATCAATGGCAACTGGCGACAATCAACGAGTGTTTAGAACCAGTGCAAATGTTAACCCCAAAAGGCAATCAGATATAAATAATGCAATTGTGTATTAATGATGTATACCTTATCTTAGGCCTATATAATTATAATTATAATTAGACTTGTATAACAATCGCAATTAGAGTAACAATCACATAAAGCAATACAAATCAGAAAGGTGTTGTAAAAATGAAACAAATAAGAACACCGGAAGCATCCGTTTTACTCATCCTCCTTAAGGTGTCCAGAATCCATACCTCCAAAAAGAAAGAATGTATTCTGGATTTTGGAGCCCTGCGTACGGAGGATGGTTTTACTAGGAAGCTCAAAGTATCCCTGTGCAGAGGCATATATAACATATATAGCATTTATAAGACATATGTCTCTGCCCTGTGGAAACACACCGATTCAACCAATTGAGAAACCATCGAGATTTAATGCATAGAATACGCGACAATCCAGAAACACAAGTACACTTACATATCTAGCAACAATATACATCCGTATTACATATCTAGCGAAGCATTTGTATGGAAGTCAATGGGAAAGTTAGCTCCCAAGGTCGGCCTATATTGGGAGAACTCAGGCATATTTCACGTCATAGTGACATAACCTCTAATTATAAACCATCTATCAAAATGTAGCCTAGCTTTCAAAATATTCTTATGCATTATGTCAGTAACTGCTGAATGGTGGAATGACGTTTCAATTCATTAAAAGTTGAAAGAAAAACATCCCATGTTACATTCTATACGGAAAGCTAATGCTGCTTATTGAATTGTTTTCAGCCTAATTATCACCCCATACGAAGAGATCGCACCGATTTCTACATGTGTATCCAATTCAAAATGCATATTTACTGGTGATCAGAATTTCGATGACGAGAAATGGCTTTAATTTATGAAGAGAAATGGCTACGTGTATGCACTGAGCTATACTACATTACTTCTAAGCTGGTCAGAAAAAGTAAACTTTAATCGTCTTTACCACTATCATTCGAAATCGGTACGATCTCTTCGCATCTACAGGGTGATTATGTTCATCAAAATAGACCGCCATTGGCCATTCTACAGTTTAAGAAATTATACATCTCTTATTTTCTATTTTTCTATAATAAAGATATCAATAATATAAAGGATCTTCTGTTTAGATTTTTCAAAGAAATTGTGCCCAAGGAGGATTGGCTCCTAGAATGCAATCTCGATATTTTCCAACAATGAAAATGTCCAGTGTAGTTAGTTAATAGAGAGATTTTGCAACTGTTAAGTATACCAACGAATGAAGTTCGGTAGGGATATAGTGAAGCCCTCCGTCCGTCCGTCCGGAAGATAACTCGAAAACTATCTATTGGATGGATTTGCTTCAAAATTAGTGGAAAGATGCATATTGGTGAATAGTTTACGTAATAAAATTTTTCGGAAAATCTTTAGTTTTTCATTTTAAACCAAAGAAATGAATATTATTATTTTAAATTTTAATAGTATATTCATTAAATCTATCTATGTCACATATATTCCAAGTTTTTCAGTCTGACCCCCAGGGACTGTGTACAGATCTTTTGAGATTTTTCTTTATTATACTCAAATGAAAGCCAAATTAGAGTATATTGCAAATGTTGTATCGTTTTTCTAATCTGGGCCTCATAAAATTTAAAATGGCCGTCTCATTTCGCAGTAATTTTCTGATCTTTTCAAAATATGGCTATATTATACCCTCAAATTGAAGGAAATTTAGGGTAGATCACAAATATGGTATTGTTTTTTGATTTGTGCCTCATAGAGCTCAAGGAAATTTTCAGATACGCCGTAGTTAAGCTGTTTCCTCCTATTGATTTAGCACTCGTTTTGATACTTTTAAATGTTAAAACACATATTCCTACATACGTTTTCACCTGTTGAGCACCTGTCAACATTACCGTTTACTCATTAATGAAGGATCTAGCAGGGGTCCATAAAAATTAAAAAATATCAAATCTTGATAATTTTTGAAGTTAACAACTGAATTACTAATGATTTGTTCTTTTGAAAGGTAATTAGCATGATATATTTATTTTATTTATTAAATTGAAAATGATACCCTGTCCGTTTTTTGTTCATATTTTGAAAAATAGTTAACACATTTATTTCAACTTCATTGTACATCTTTGATCTTCTTCATGATTTGACAAGTAAGAGAATACTATAGTACTTATTTAATGTGAAATCCAAGCTTTTTAAAGAATTATCTTCATCATTGGTGTTCCCCAGGGTTGCATTTATAGCCACATCTATTTTGATTAATTATCTTGTGATTTTTTGATTCATGGTCTAATTGGCAATAAAAGTTGAATCTATGTGCATACATAAATGTACAGATCCGTCGGATGGGGGACGGGGTGTGTTGGCTGGGATTGCATCCCCTATGGGACCCCCGTCACTGAAATTGGAAAGGAAATTTTATTATATTTTCTAATTGACTCGGACACTTTGAAAGTGCGTAGAAATCACTGAATAACATTGTACCCTTGTACCCTCCTACTAGAAAACAGTAGAATTAAATAGTTTATACTTTTTATTGTCTCAAACACATAAAGTGTCAAGAAATCATCAAATAGTACCCCTCCCAAAACTATTGAAAAGTAACAATTCTAAAGTATTGATAAAGGGATCTGTCGAGTGTCATCATCAATTACGATTAAATCCAATATATGAAATTTTTGAAATGATTGACTTAACACAAGAATATCATCGTATATTGATACATGATAATATCCCCTTGTTAAGTCAATGAAGCCAAACAAAAAATAAAAATAAAGGACGTGAACCTTTGCAAAGGTTCACCTACTTTCCAAGGTCAGGTCAAGGTTTTCTTAACGATGTTCTTTAATAATTTTTCATATTTTCACATTTTGTAATCATTTTTTTATAATTAATGATTTTGTAAATTAGACCACTGCTGAAATCTCAAATTAATAAAAATATATTATGTTGTTACGTAACTCAACAAATTTAGAAATAGTCGATGGTGTAATTTCAACTTATATAGACTACTGTTATTTAAATCGTTAGACTGGAACAATAAATTAAAAAAATTAAACTGTAAAATAAGTTATACTGTGAGTGTGAAATCCATTTTGATTTTTCAATTGAAATTGTATAAAATGTTCTCGATGTCAAAGAGTTTATGATATCTTTACTTCTTCACTATCTAATTGTGACCCATGTAAAGCCAATAGGAATATGTGAAACAATTTGGAGATGTGTAATAAATTATAAAATTGTACCTGTGTATAAAATCAGCAAGTAAAACCAAATGTACAAAAATACAGCCCAAGTAGTTACCACTTGGCCAGCCTTATCCAGAGTGATACCAAACATGTACAGCTAAGGCAAAGAAAAGATAATTGGCTCGATTGCCTTGAATTCACTTGGCTATTGAACTGTACAATAAAATTGACTGGCTCGCCTCCAAAGCATTTAAAGGCTAATGTTTTAAACCATTAAACAAATTTTATAACAAATCATTTAATATTGAACTTGTATTAGATCTCAAGAATCGATATTAATTAGCTTCGCAATACAACTATTAACCCTTACGTTAACGTATCAATATGCTGATGAAATCCTTCAATAATATATAAATGCATCTCATTCATCTTTTTTATAACAAATCATTCAGTATTTAACTTGTATTACATATCAAGAATCTACAGAGATTACTTACTCAGTAAAATGGGTGGAGTCAAAAAGTAATGTAAACATCTCTGTCGCTCGGTACCTGTATACATAGGACTTGTATGGCATTAAACACAATAATTGTCATCTTCTAGACAGTCCAGTGTACACAAAAAACGATGAGAGACTGCCAATTAAAAGTACACCTTTTCCCCCTTGATCAAAAACGGATGCGTTTCTATCCCCTGATACACATTGAATACAGATAAAAAGAAACAAAAAGGGAAAAGATAAAATATTACAAAACACAAAAAGAAACATGGAATTGTAACCAAATAAAAAGGTAGACAAAACATCAATAAACTAGAATGACAAAGATGGTATATATTACAGGAACCATTATCACAGTAAAACAAAGAAGAAAAAAGAATAGAAGATATCTAATACACCTGTCATTAAAAACGATTCGTAGATACTGATATTCATACAAATGTGCACGCCAAAGAACCAATTGGAAAAGGCCCAAAAATGTAACAAATATCTAAGCACAATTGCCAAAGGAAGAGAACCAAAAGCTGTAAAGAAACCTAGCAAATAAAGCAAACTCTAAGTGTAAACTTGTCATAAGAAAAATAGACCCTATAGCCATGATATATCGTGTAAAGAAAGAATGTCTAACAGCACCTTCCCCCATCCATCGAGAGCCAGTATCTCAATTCAGAACCAGAAAACCAAGGAACATTTCATTCATACTGGATTCATTACAATGCATGTTGACGAGAACATAAAGAATTGATAGACAATGCTCATAACATCAAAAATAGTTACTGATACTAGAATTCATGAAAGTCTCAAATAAAATCCAGACGAAATCCAGTCTCGATTTTCATAGGCAATTCAAAGGCTCAACATTCATTCGCAAACCGTCGCCATAATCCATAAAACACCAAATTCACAATGATCACCAGGAGAGATCTATGGCTGATTTCGACCCCCATTTCTCACTTTTGACTTTTGTAGAATTCAGGTACTCTAAGGTAATTTGATATCAGATTCAATATGCCCTTTTCTTTTTCTTTTCATGTATTGAACAAAATGTATCGACTGGGATTTGAAGAGTTCTATGAAATCCCAATACAAATACTTTAAGGCTTTAAAATCATTGGTTCTTTTGAATGGAGAAAAATATGTGTTTGCGTTTTTTAGAAGAACTTTGAGTGTACACATCGTGTAAACGTCCGAACATTATCAGCTCATGGAAGGAATGTTGAGCGCTCAAAGATGCTTCTTCGAACAGTGCTTAGCGTCATATTTGCTACATCTGTCCTTGCAAGTAAATATAAAGGACGATTCGGGCATTTAGGTTTAAGCAGATACGACCCTCCTCGTCCCGGCTCAGGTAGGATATTAAACAATAAGGATATGACCAACAATATTCTTAGTGAACTTACTGGCACTGAGTTAGACAATCTACTGGAAGATTTACACATTTCGAAAAAACAAGGCGATATCATATTGAACAAGAAACAACTTGTACAGAAGATAGCGAACATGGAACTTAGGGAACATTTCAGCGATCAAAAGTACAGAACCCTACCTAATGAAGTAGACCTTAATAACAGAGCGAAAGTGATGCATCAAAAGAGCGAACATATCAAGGAAGTGCTCAAGAAATATAAGATGCAACATTTTGAAACCATTTCGCAAAGAAAACGTGTTAAACGGAAGATGATAACTGGGAACGTGGAGAAATGGGTCTTTCCTATTCAATTTAGTTTTAACAATACATACAGTAAGTTTAAACAACATTTTAACCTCCACTGAGTGATTGATTGCATATAGGCATATGCAAGTTGATATTTAAATAATGAATGGGTGTAATTTTGACTCTATTATTTACTTTATTATAATACATGAACAGGAGTTTCAGATTTTGTAAAAACATTCGTAATTTGCGCTAAGTAAATTAAGCTATCATTCGACAAGCAAACATAATTTGATATATTTTAGCCGAGGAAAACAAAACTAAAATACGTGAGGCGCTTCAGAACTGGGAGGATGCTACTTGCGCAAGTTTTATAGAATCTAATGTCACCGCGGCACCTGCGCTGCACTTCGATCCTCTCGATGGGTAAGTACTGATTCACCGGCAATAAGAACGTAATTTTCATGACTTTTTGGCATGGAAGGCTCGACGAAAACAAGATTTAAGATGCAAGATTTTATTGTGTTGCAAGCTAAAACAATTGGCTTCCTCACAAAATCAATAACAAGACATAGTTATACAGTAAAATGCAGTGTTAATTATATAAACAAACCTTTAATTATGACCATCTTACAAATTAGTGTATTCCTTTTTCAAATATGAGAACTTGACAATAGAAAATATATCACATATGAAAGTATTTCACTTGTATCTCATTTGTCAAAACAATCCCAGAAGTTGTCACCAGTTTATTTGTCTCCGTTTGAATTATAATAATTTTACTAAAACGTAGTTTTATAAACCATTCTATGTTTGATTGAATTGATATATAAATACAAATGAAACACAAATCAGTCCATGAGAGCTACACTGATTCTTAATCTTAATAAATATGCAAAATATCTACATGCAAAAGCAATGTTTTTAGTTGCTATTCGTATGTGGGGCGTGAACCATCAGCTACCAACATAGTGTCACTGGCAGAGGGATGTCTTACAGTGAGTTCAATTCACATTGTTTGGACGAGTCATGAACTTGCAATTGTATACATTTAGTTTATTGCTAGAATGAAGAAAAGAGTTCTTCATCCTAGGTTAATTGACAAGATATAGTTTAATAGTATAAGTAGATTTGATCTTATTGAATAGATATGTATTTCTTACTTCACTTATTCAATGACCGATTGATTGGCTGATCAAATTGATTGATTGATTGCAATTGATTGGTTTACATTTCTTGTACTGAACGAAATAAACATCTCCTAAAATAAATGACAAAGTATAGGCTTGCATTGCTGGTAATACATCTAAGTTGTACTAAATTAACATATTTGGCGTTTTGATAGACAGGTACTATTGAACACGAGATCGGCCACGCCCTGGGATTATTCCACGAACAGAGTCGACCCGATAGGGACTCGTTTATCACCGTGAATATCTCCAATGTGCATCCGGATCAGGCCAGTAACTACGATATATTATCCTGGCACGAAACTCTTACGAACAACATAGAATATGACTATGGCTCGGTCATGCAATATAACAAACGGGTGAGAATGTTTCAAAGATATTTGGAGGTCATTTGGCTTATCAGAATTCACAAAAATATTTATAAAATAGCAAACTTCAATATTTTGTAACCTATGCACCTCTGATCATGAATGCTTCCTGAAATCTTATTGTTAAAATAAGATGTTATAATGTGTTTGTTGTAGGCATTTACAGGTGATGGTGGTATAACTATGATCGCAAAGGATGACATGTTCGACAATACAATGGGACAGGATGCCGGCCTTTCTTTTTCCGACATCAAGCTATTTAATATAGAATACTGCAGTGGTGAGAATAAGATAACAATTGACCATATTATTAGATTTGCAAAAACTTATCGGGAAGTATTCCAAAAAATTATTTTATTTGTCCCAATGGCCACAATCATACACACTACATGCCTGATTACTCAGCAAGAATGTCTTTGAAAGACCGTAGTATGAGGAAATGTTACTGTATTTCATAATCTTGTCACATTCACCTTTTTATTACTTAAAATTACTGTAAAATTGTTATTTATACCTCGAAACTGGGAATAAGCATTCTATTACCTAAACTTTTACCAGCAAAATATTTAAAAAGTCTACGCATTATAAAAAGACGTTAACTATATTACAAAATAAAAAATATGTCTTTTGGCTCCTCTGTACATATTACAGAAAATAAAACCAAATATTAGATGCAACCTTGAAGTGACTTGTGCAAATTAAGATGTAAGAATACTCCCCTTAAATGTAAACATGTTTGTCAATACTTTCATATTTAAGGGTGGAGTGAAGTTTAAATTGCTGTCAAGTTTGTGTAAATACCAAATTATTTAAATGAGAGTAAGGACACGGATTTTATAAACATGTTTGTAATAATATTAGAATAGGATATTTTTACTGGGATAGCGTGACAGTCCATTACTATAATTCTATGTCCCATGCTTTTGGTTTTAGAATTATTTCAATAGCATTTTGCCCATGAAAAGAGTTCTTCATCCCATAACCTTTGCATTCGTTTGACTTCACTTCTTAAAAGAGAGCTTCGTAGTTTAACTAGACTCTGCGCGCAGGGTATTCATCCAGTCAGATTCATCCTAGAACCTGGCTCTCAAATCTTAATAGTCAATTACGATTCGCGGATATATTTCCATTTCTCGATTTTCGTCAATCTACGATGTTATCGTAGAACTGTATATTGTACATACCTTATTCATTGCTGGTGAAAGCATCAACAATGCATTTCAAGGTACTATTGGGTGCGTGGCAGTCATGATCTTCCACTGTTTCAAAAGAAAATAAATAGAGGTTATTTATTCCATAATACTACTGTTTTCCCAGGGAAATATGAAGGAATAAAAATCGTATTGAATCGTATTACATGAAAAAATCGTATTGTCCCCGGGAAAAAAATCGTATTGGAGCGTATTACATGGAAAAATCGTATTGTCCCCGGGACAAAAATCGTATTGGAACGTATTAACCTATTTTTGGTTTTCCCGGTTATTTTTAACCTTGACTAATTGATAAAAGCATTATCCAAATGTAACATTTTAAGGAGGAATGTTATATGGAATAAATAGGTTATTTCTGGTCGGGATTGAATATGGGTTTTATTCCTCGGAAAATATGATATTGACCTTGGGAAATATGATATTGACACTCGGTCGCTGCGCTCCCTCGGTCAATATCATATTACCCTTCGGTCAATATCATATTGTCCCTCGGAATAAAACCCATATTCAATCCCTCCCAGTAAATAACCTATATATATTTAATGGGCCGAGAGATTGAATATGAGTTTTATATATATATTTATCCCATACTATTTTTCTGAATTTTGTTCATTTTCAAGTTGATTCAATTTGATTCATCATATAAAATCTTCAACTTTTAGTAACACATTTTTGTGAATGTAAAGTAAAAATCGAGAGAAATTCCCGGGGCGGATAGATGTGATATGGGATCTGATTTTTGGATGATACGAGATCCAATACGGGATCTGATACGGGATTTTTTAAATATCGATTCTATTCCCTGTTAAACATCCAATGGAATTATGGAATTATGTTAAGTGACCTTACCCTCGTCCAACCTATTCTTTAAGATGATAGATTATAGTGTGTAAAACTGCTGTATACAATTTCTGATCTTTCGAATACATGGCAGATATATTCTGGCTGGAAAACATCAATGTTTAAACTTCATTTATGAGAACTTCCACGCGTAAGGGAAGATGTATTGTCTGTTTTAGGGCAATTCAATCTCAGATATTGTGTTTGAATGACTATCAAGGCAAATCTTATGATACTCAATTATTTTGAACTATTCTTTACCAGAACTTTTGAATCCACTTGTGCACTTGCCAAATGACAGATTTTGTACTTCATTTATGAGAACTTCCAGGTGTAAAGGGAAGATGCATTATCTGCCGTGATACAATGACGTTTCGGGTATTGTGTTTAAATGGCTATCAACCAGTTTTGATGATTCAGTTGGACAAAAGGAGCGTTTGCGTAATTTTTCTCTAATCGACAGAAAAATGTGAACAAATTGAAGCCCTTTAATTTTCACGTTAATATGTATAACAATTTATGTCAACATTTTGAGCAAATATTTTCTTTCATTATGTTTTATGAATAATGGATGAACTAAAAGTACTGGTTTTAAGGAGGAATATTAGTTCTCCTAAGACCAAGTACGAATGGTTTATCTAACTTAAACCTCACACTGACTCTCATGAAAGGTAAATGGTCCATGGTCCAATTTGAGGAATATTTATGCATTGCATGTAACAGGCCAGGTACGGTTCAAAATTTTATTTCTTTTGTGTGTACTATTCAACTATTGAATTAGTGAAAAAGGTGTAATTAGTAAGTTTAGTTCACCTCATGTGACATTTAATCGTTTTTTGTGCAACACTGATTTTGAATAGCTTGCCAAGTGTCAATTCTTTAAAAAAGAATAGAAAAATGATGCACTCAACCACAGTTCATTCTATTTTGCTGCTAATAAGTGGAGTTTAACAATGTCATAGTACATCAAGAATAAGATAATTAAAAGATTAATTGTGCTATGAAAATGATTTCTAACATATTTACTGATCAGCTTCAACGTTTGGCATTGGTAATAATTGTACATTTTCACCTTTTACTCTAACAATTCAAGGTGATAGAAATTTTGATATCAAATCGCATTTAATCTCAATTATAAAAATTACTAGAATAGTATGACAATAGTATAGTGCTTACCCCAAAATTGCATTTGGACGTATCTGTTAAAAACCAGTTAACATCAGTTAATTCATCGCAAACAGCGCCTTTTGAATATCAATGTACAAATAGTACTTATATCGTAGAAAACTAAAATTGTCAATCCGCGAATAGTAATTGACGATGTTTTCGAAAAACGGACTCCAAGTTTTGTACGAGCAAAACTATTTTCGAGACAATTCAGTTATATTCCGACTTAATTCAATAATGAAAATCGTTTCAATTAGGTTCTTGCAATGGATATAGAAAGCTAGATTGGACCGAGTGTCAACATGGAGGATATAGGGACCCCAATAATTGTGACGTGTGTAAATGCCCGGATGGATGGACTGGAGCTACATGCAGTACAATAAGTCCATCTACTAATGGTACACATTTTGGCTAATATATTTCCGCTTTTCGCGTTTTAATTATGTTTAAACACTGTTCCATTAGTACATATTATGTAAATTATAACTATGATTTTGGAAATAATATTCAAACAATAGTTTACAAAACTGACATTAGTTCAACTGTGCATTCGAATTTATCTTTATTAGCTGTATGTGGAGGTGAGGTGAATGTGACTACCATACCAGGAGAGTTAATGACTCCATCGTACAATGTTGGATACATCAAGGATACCTCGTGTACATGGCTACTTACTGTAAATATATTTCCAATAAAGATAATAAATGCTTCAATGGTGTCATCTAACCAAAGTGTAATTAACCTTGTATTCGCAAGTGCAATTAACGCCTGTCGGCTAACGGATTGATCTACTGTTTTATGGCCAACTCATTTAAATATGAATGGAATAGTTGCAGGTACTATTCATATTTAAATACAATAGTAAGCTAATCCGGTAGCCGACAGACGTTAGTTGCATTCGCGAATACAAGCTACAAGTAAATGTTCTGGTCATATTCTGCATTTTACTAAGTGGGCCAATTAAACTCACACATATGTTTTTATCAATGTTCTATATACTTTTATTAATTAACAGGCAGATGAAGATTCGCAAGTAACAGCGTTATTTTTGGGGGATTTTGGCATTGATTGCTTAGATGATGCATATGAAGGTTGTGATAGAGACTGGGTGGAAGTCAGATATAACGACTTACAACATACTGGACCAAGGTAAATTGTTATACGGATAGAATGTTCAAAAATAATATTTTATTCTTTCTATATGAAATCACAATCCAGTATTGAGGGCTCATACATTAATAGGTCAGTATCGCTTAGGTACAAACTTTAACTTGATGTCCTTGTAGCAGCTGTGGCTTTCGCATTCGTATACGTTTTGCGTTTTCCTCTTACATTCCGTTTTTTTTCCTTGTTTCACTGTGTCAACATATTCATACGGTTACTAATCCCTAAAATACAAAACTGCAAGTGAAACATGATCCCATTATGCTTAGATAACCGCATCAATTCCTTTGTAGATTCTGCTGTGGCACAAGACCAAGTGAAAAATTTGTATCCAAGGGCAACCAGATGATGATTCTATTTCGCTCGAATACAATATTTAGTGGATCGACACCTATCCCCAATAATGGATTCAAACTACAGTTCTCTTCAACTCCAAGTAAGGATGTTTGATTAGTACCTGTGATGATGTACCATGGCAATCGGGTTTATTGAATATTCCTAAATGATAAGGGGGGGGGGGGGGTTCGGATGAGGTAAATAGAATCAATTGTATTTACATCAATTTTGAATTTTGAATTTGTCAATTCTGACAATTCTATATTTTTTATATTTGTACTTGCTAATGATACTCGTAGGCTACTTTATAGGAATTTTCAATAACTTTGAAAATACTCAAAAAGTGATTAACCTCTTCAGGACACCCGATATATAATTAATTAAAACTACTTTTGCAAGTTTAAGTTTATAATAGGCGGGCAGAATTGGAGGTCCAAAAAAAAGTTTAATGTACAGTTGCAACATATTCTCGAATTTGGTACCGTTGGAAAGCTTGTGGTGCCTAGATTTGAGATCCACTTGTTAGCAATTATGAAATGTGGGCCGAATGTGTCTAAAACGC